AAGGCTGATTTACCTAGTGCGAATAATTATATACAATTGTTGATTAATGAATAATTATGTACCTTTTTTTAATAATAATACAAAATTACAATTAATGTTTTTTTTTACTTAGGGTGTGAAGAGCAATTTTTCATTTTGTGTTGTGCCGTTTTCTTTCTCAGTCTCAAAATCATCTAGCAGCGTCAGCATCATATCAAATCCCCATTGTCATAAGAGTGTAAGACTTTTCTTCTGTGCGTCACTTGGCCTACGCCTTCCCCGACACATAAAATATTATGAATCGATGTCTGTATATTTCGGTTAGATCGATTTTGAAATCGATACACAACATTCTAAGAATGTTTCAAAAAGGAAGGTCAGCTACGCCGTTGTCGTCCAGTCGCGACAGTGTCGTCATTAGGATGGAGAGTAGTGCTGTGGTTTACTACTATTTTATTGTTATTGTTTAAAAATACACTTAAAATAGAATTTAAATAAATAAAGGAAAATACATTTTAAAAAGCGAGCAGAAGCACCTCCAAGATTATTCTCTTTTTATGGAATTATTAATCGAATAATAATCGAATCGATATTATGATGTTATGATAATTAAAAAAGCGAATTACTAGCTGATTTACTATGAATTCTTTAGAGTATAACAAAATGCTGCTGCACAATTTAACAGTAATTGTTATCTGTTTTAACAATACATTTAAAATGGAATCATGTTATGATAATTAAACAAGTGAATTTTTAGCTGATTCACCATGAACTGTTTAGAGCATGATAATACGCTACTCCACATTTTAACTGTTCTTAAAAATACATTGAAAAAAGAATTTAAATAAATAAAAGAAAATATATTTTAAAAAGCGTGTAGAACTTAAAGCGCCTCATATATTACTTTTTTTATTAAATTACTAATCGAATAAAAATCGATATCGTTTCATTGTATTTATGCACAGATTAATCTGTGTATTTATGTTAGTTATGTGGCAACATCAAATCTGACAGCTAGGAAATATGTCATGCGAATTGGGAATGAAAATGAAATCACAATTCAACAAATAAAAAGATACTAGAGAATTCACAACTAAATAGTCGCAATTGTGTTATTTTGTTTGTTATTTTTCAAATAAATTCTCAAGAACTCATATGAAGTGAGATTGTCGATCACATTATAGTGTGACAACAGTTAAAAGTAAGTGTTTAACAGTTTTAATTTAATAATTCTAGTGCTGATATTTGATAGTGATCAATGAATGAAATGATGAAGTTGTTTTATTTTTTAACATATGCACAAGCTATATCTGACAAACATAATAGCTTATTTATAACATGGCCATAAGATTAGCTAGCTAACACCAGATAGTTACAAAATGGACAATTTTTATCAAATACCAAGAAATGAGAAAGTCGATTTTTAATTGTTTTTGGACTACTGGTAGGCAGTCAGTCCTTAATTATTAAAAATATAGGGCATTAAGTTTTAAGTAACATTTACCTATATTTGAGTTTAAAGTAAACAAATCTATTTTATTTTGTTCACTTTGTCTTATTTTTTTTATTTAATATTATTTCAGTTGCCATCGTCATCGCGTGTTATGATTGCTGGCAAAGGACTGATAAAGCAGCATCACGTTAAACTTTAGAACGGGAACCATCTGAATCATCTAGTCCGTCCTCGTTGCAATCTAAAGTGAGTAATATATTGAACCTAGAACAACAAAGCTTAGATCATACATCGTACAATATACTGCTGCCTAATTTTGTAAGACCACCACTCACACAAAATCAATGTTTTTTCCTGGTTGTAACTATTCCAATCAACTCACAGTTCCATCAACATTGCGGGTATGTCTTTTTTGAATACAATTACTATGTACCTCCAGAATGTAGAATCAGTAACTACCATTTAAATAGTAACTCTTGGTATTTACTTTTAGAATCAATATATAATCATATTAAAACATTTAGTGTAGCACAAATTATAGATTTTTCTACATTATTGTAAGATAATATTTACCATCATATTATAGACTTTGAAAGTATTCACAGTATGCCTGAATATAGTGTACATTATTATCTAGGCTTATCAAAAGCACAATAACAATAAATTCTGTCTAAAGTTCCCAAAATGTCAAGTAAACATAGTGGATGTTTTGCACTTGCTGTATATTTGATGAAAATAGGAACATGAGATAGTGATGAATGCATATCGGCATTATTGCAAGTGCCAAGAAACAAATAAGAGCGGCTCATGAATATGGCCCGTGAAATATTAAATCAGGATGTTGTTACTATGAATTTTATCCATCGTTAACACTCTCTGTGCCAAATTCCATTCAGTAATTACGATATTATATTAGAGGCAAATAATTTCTTAGCTTTCCTAGATGTTTTTGTTCTCCAAAATCCTAACAACATCATATGTCACACTGTGTATAGAAAAAAAGACCCATACAAACTTATATTTAAGCGGTGAATCTCACCATCATCCTTCACAGTTAGTTTCCGTGAGCAAATATTTGTTACAGAGAGCATATGGGATCTATAAGAGCAAGCACCTGGCCGCGGAGCTTCAGCACATCAAGCAGGTTCTGCACAAAATCAAGCTTCGGGTCCCACATCTACGTCACAGTGACTGAGTGAAGCCGACCGCAGTTGAGCGTGTGCTAGCTGTACTACCGTATGTCGAGGTTGTCACCCCAACCAGATAGACATACATCAGATTTGATAGATCACAAATCCTCGCGAAAGAGCCTTAATTCCTACCAAGGATGATATGTGAGGCTATTGAAATTAAAAACATCCTAATTTCAATAGAGAAGGCGGTTGGGTACTACCACCTACTTGGGACACTATAATTAATAAAATTAAAACCAAACCCAGGCATACCACTGCAAGACTTAAAGAGAGAGTAAGTTCAATCTGCATAGATTGGACTATTAAAATAATAATAAAAAGCTGAAAGTATCATGGTATCGTGGAAGGTAGGTGTCCCAATACTGACATTGGAATGGCAGTCACCTCAGTCCCCCGTGACTATGGGTGCTATAAAGCACCTGAAATGTCGGGAAACAAAAGTTAAAGAAGTTAAAAGCGATAAAATTGGTAAAAGTAGTCGTTAAAAAACTGTATTTGTGAAAATAAAAACTTTTATATCATAAAAATCCCGACTTTTTTTAAACCAATTCCTTAGCCATTTCATTATTTTAATTGCATATTATCGTTTCCATATGCTTTTATATGTGGGCACCAATGGCCGAAGTGTCTATGAACAGTGGGCATCCCCCTTTCTAGCTGTGACACAGGATAAATTAAAAATTAAAATTGTCAATACCTGTATGACTAAACCTCATACAAATATTCGTGCAAGGTCTAATATTGAAATGGCCAATACAAATTATGATACAGAAAGTACTGATTCTAATATAAGTACACCAAGGCGAAACCTTGAGTTATTGTAAAACTAAATTTACAATATAATTATCACTTTTTCATTGTATTAGTATTATATTTCATTAGTCTTAAGTTAAATGTTCTCTCCTCAAATTTATATTTCTTAATTTCTATATCGTTACTTGAATTATACTCACATACTTCTTCTCTATTCCGTATATTCCGTTTTAAAGGGGGGAGATGTTACATCCCTATTTACACTGTCACATCACTATTTGTTAAAGTAAAATGCTGACTTGCAATTATTGCTGGTTTATTCAAATACAATATTAAAAATCAGCAATAATTTTGCTATAAATACGCAAGACTTTCCTAAATTCGTTCAGTTGGTTATTCTTCAGCTAAACTGCTCCCCAGCTACGGACCTGGTTCTTGCCTGCCGGCTGGCTATCAGTGAAAGCTAAGACTACACTCCGGGTCTACTCTGCCCTTCGCCAGGGCTATCGCGCTGTTATAATCCAAGTCGCGTATAAGTTTTATGTAATAGTAGAAATTCTGTGTCCGAACTTGTGTATGAGTAAAACTTTTAATTTTAATAAATAGTTGTCGAAATTTAAGTACTGTTTTTTTTATAAGTGCTGGATAGGACAATCTAACAGAACGCGCGTGTGTGCGTACGAGTGATTGCATGTGCGTGTGTGTGAATTCGTGCGTAAGTGCGTGACTGTGTGTCTGTGTGCATGCGTGACTGCGTATCTGCATGTGTGCCTGCGTGAATGAGCGCTTGCGTGCGTGTATGCACATGTGCATAGTGCGTGCGCGCGCGTGTATGTGTGTGTGTGTGTGTGTGTGAGAGAGAGAGAGAGAGAGCGATAGAATAAGAGAAACAGAGAGCAAGGTGGGGGAGACGAGTAGAGCGAGACACAGAGAGAGTCCGAAAGATAAAAAGAGATAAGCGGGCACAAAATCAGCAACGGTCGAGTGATGGCGGTAGCGGGGCGGTGCGGCGTACTCGCACTCTTTTTGTGCGCATTGCTATATTAAACTATGCTTTTGTTTACGTCGCTGTCGCATCGCGCCGCCATCATTCGTCATTCATAGTCTCTTAAAATTGAGGTTATAACAATTTAAACGAACTAATTGAATATGAATCTAGTCGAATCCAAGTATTTACGTGATACGAAGCAGTATTCCAATATATGTGAAAAATAATCTGAAATCCGCATATTTACGCTATAAAATAATGATCGTGGCGGAGCGGAGCAGGGGCTACAAGGCGTACAAAACATTGACGACGGCACTGTGTCAGTTGCGGGTGCAGCGCTCTATAAACCAGGCTGACGGTCAGTTGTTAGTTCATTTAAGTTATTTTTAGAGATAAGATGTTATTTATTTGCTGGGATTCTGTGATTAATCAATCAACATGCATTTAAATCAATAAAAAATCAGGAGAAATTTATTTTTATCGCGATGTTTTAAAATACAATAGTAATTATTTAATAAAACTTAATTCACGTTAGCAACAAAAATAGAATGGAAATAAAAAATGAAACAAAACGTATTTCAAATTGGGTTGCGGGAATTATGTACCAAATGTGAATCTTAAACATGACACATACCGGCGAGGTCTTGCCGGTGACGGTGAGCGACAAAGAGTCCAGCACGATGACTTTCAGAAAGTCCATAACGCCGGCGCGCACGGGGTGCGTGGTGAGCGCGCCCCCACTCTCTATCACAACTTCTTTTTCGGAGCCAGGCGTGGACGCGCCCGAACTGTCGCCACTTTCGCATATAGCTGCAAAAATAAAATGCAATCGAGCGGCTTGCTTAAAATTATACATATTATGAAAAACGACTCTATTCTTAAAATTTACTAATGTAAAATTACTTTAGGAGAGCGTGCTCAGTTTTATCAGTCTAATTTCTCTCTTTCTTCAGTTTAATTTTGATTTCCGGTGAGCAAATATATTTATATTACTGATCAGTAAGCTGAAGTGAAAATGGGCCGACCATATAGCTCAAAGAATCAACAATCGATGGAGAAGAAAGGCTCTCGAGGCAGCCACCACCAAGATGGGAGTTATAACCGGATAAGATGTGCGGTAAGTCGATGGGTGGATGGATGGGCAGGTGAAGGTAATTTTTGTAGTGTTCAGTGTAGGACACTATGTTTAGCAGTGGGCTTTAATAACTTGATTTTTTATGAATATCTTTTAAAGAAACTTGCATTTGCAAAGAAAAAAACCCAATTCATGTACGTTTACGCTTAATAATGTTAGAAATAATATCTAAAGGGGTAAGGAAGATATCATTTGTATACTTACGCATATGTATATCGTCTGCAGTGTTAGGAGGGAATAGTATTGATGCTAATGCGGTAAGTACTTCGGCAGTCATCATTATATTGACGAAGTCTGGTAACGTGTTGTACAGCGAAAACAATACCTAAAAAAAATTGTGAAACCATAAATCACACCGTTTGGCTATGATTTAAAATGATGATATGTACAAAAGCATACAAGTTGATTTAAAAAAATTGTGTTGCATTTACACTACATATTTATGTTCGTTATAAGTTATTTTAAGGTGGTTCTAAAGAAGAAAACGCAGTTAAAGTTTATGGGTTGTTGTTATTTTTACAAATAATATCCATTTTATAGAACACTAGCAAAAAACACCTAATTAAGTTATTATAATAATCCAAATAAGGAAAAGGATAGGTTGACAAACACAGTATTAAAACTTTTGAAATGAAAATAACATCTAAAATTGTTAATGATATGTTGTATCGTTATAACAACTTCAGATCTTGAGTTGCTCGCGTATTATGAAAATTAAGGCTAGCCCGTATTTTTTGGACATCAAAACTAATTATATTCTCTAATCAAAACGTTTTAGTTGTGAAAACTTGAATATTAACGTTGTGCATTTATGATATTTTGGAATGGTTAGGGAATAATTTTGCACGAATTGCTTTAATTATCAGTATAAAAGTACTATAATTTATGTGGTAGAATACAATATTTATTTATTGCGCTATCGTGCACAACTAAACGACACAACAAGCGTAGGCATACATTTTCACCGCGCCGTAGAAAGAGAGGGGGATACTTCCACTCCTACGCCGCGCCGGCTGTCTCTTTCTCTCCATCCGTCTTACGCATTTTCGATCAGGGTCACGTGTCCTGACGCGAGTTTAACATTTTTTACCCATTACAAAAAAAGTGTACAACGCCGCTAATGAAGTTTTCACTTCAAAAAAAGCTTGAATATATAGGTACTTTTGTTGCGTAGTGTGTGAGGAAGAGGTGTCTAAATGTCGAGTCGTGCCTGGACAATAGCGACGGGGTGGTCGGCGAGCCAGTCGGGCGGCGGTTGCGCGGAGTGCGCGGCCGTAGCGTGCGGGTGTACGAGCGCGCGCACGGCCGCCAGCAGCGTGACCACGGGCTCGGCGGCGAGCGAGATGCGCGCGGCGAGCGCGGCGGGCGACTGGCGCTGCGGCGCGGCCGTGCCCCACGCCGCCGCCCACACGCGCTCCACGCACATGCCGCGCTCCGCACTCGCGCCGCGCATCGGCTGTCCCAGCACCAGCCCGAACACCAGGTAGTACAGCTCCGGGATCTCCAGGTGGGACAACACCAGCCTACCATACACACAAACAACTATACTAACCGCCTACAACATTTAATGAACATAAACATCGAACACGTGTTAGTTGTCAATAATACCATCATTAAAACCACTAAATATTACTAACTTTGGAGTATTTCAAAACTGGTCAGTTTTCTGTTCTAGATTTAAGATTTCTTCTAAGATTTTTATTATTTTTATATTTTGAATAATTACATGTTTTTATATAGTAACAATTTTTTTGGCTAGAAATAATAGTATAAAAATATTTCATCATTTAACAATTAAATGCCAATCAATAGAAAAAACGAGTAAAATAAACAACACGTTCTCCAAGCTATTCTCATACTGTATGTAGAATATATTTTAAACACGTATACACCAGATGTTAAATACACAGTGCAACTTTGAATGATCATTAAAAATTAAACTGTCTGGTTCTACAATCACCAATCTTATTGTCAAACGTCAGGATTTCAACATCCTTTCTATTAAGGTATAAAATACGAGTTAATGAGGACCAAGTGTCATACTGCATCTCCATGCTCCTTTCAGCTACAGACTGTATGCAAAGGAGACGGGCGAATTTGGGCCTAACGTTACACAAGTGAAATATTTATCAATATTTTTCAATGAAATATTTATCAAGTTTTTTTGTAGTTAATAATGAAATATTCAGCAGTTTTATCATGGCAAAAGAAATTAAATATTTATTAAGAATAATACTGACTTCCGTTATTTTTATTTTTAAACAATGCTGCCAGATGAAATAGGTTAGTTAATCGATTTAAAAAAAAAGACAATAAAAAGTGATCTAGTCTTTTCTTCTTTCGGTAAGTTTAAGAAACTTCTTATTTAAACAATGGTTTCCTCGTGACACCTTAACGTTTCAAAATCGACTCATTGTGGCCTGTATAAAACATTGATAATCGATTGTGAAATCGATTATCAATGTTTTATACAGGCCACAAAGCGGAAATGTCAACGTTAGTTTAAAAACTAAAAACGTCACTCAAATCATTTGTTACTTTTGTTCACAGAGTACTTTTTTATATAGGGAACGTTTGTTTGGCTCTGAGTTTGCTTTGTAGTGAATATTTTCTGTTGTTTTTCTGTGCTGTAATAATATTCCCATCTTTAACGACTCTGGCTACGTATAAAGGATTCTGACGATTTCTTTTCTGATTTTACAAGAATACATGTGCAAAATGATAAATAATTTTCCCCAGCTCACACACAGTAATTTAATAAAAATATCTTTAGGTATTTATCAAATTAAGTAGGCTAGGTCCCATTATAGTGCACACATACAAGATGGGAGATATGAAATAGAAATGTGTCTAGAAACGGACAGCAACCTACTAAGAGAATTGTCTTTACTCGACCTCTTAATAGTCACCTAGAATGGTACTATCCAACCATTCTAGCTGGGTATTGAGAGGTCGAATAAAATCGAGACATATACTTAAGCTCTAAAACATATTTTACATATATTTTAGTTGACAGTCCTCTTAATGGTAGAGAGATCATCAAACAGTATTATTTCAATTCTTTGGTAGGAAAAAGAACTGTTGACTGTGAACTGTGAATCCATGATATGGTACCTAAGATGGGCAAGGCATCAAGAGAATTTAATACTGCCTGCACCGTTTTTAGCCGATATTTTATTTGTTTATGATGAACTGGACGATTAATAAATCATTAAAAGAGAAAATGTTTATAATTCATCCTCCTTCTGCTTTTTTATAATTATTTCAAACTTCTAGAATTTAGTTGGACCGCGGCGTCTGAATCTTCTATTTGTGAATGTCCTACAATACATAAAATTATGGTGAAGTCTAGTTTACAATAAAGTCTAATAATTATTTTCTCAAAGTGTATTGTGAGAGCTTGGTGTGAGAATAAGATTGTATGCATAACATAAGCAAAATAACAACCTATATTTTTTTCTACGATGAAGCACTCGTAAACATTTTAGTTTTTTTTTTTTAATGGTATTGATATATAAATAAAATAATACAGTAATCGTTGCTGTAACATTAGGCCCAGCTTTCTATGAACTTTAGCCCGTCTTCTTTAGATGGTTTCTACTCTGACTGATAAAAACTCTTACAAAAGCCAGTCAGGTTGGCAAAAAGGCTAAATAAGCCTGATATATGATACGTGTAGTTGTAGTCGTGTATAAGCAAAAAAGGATTAGGACCATGTGAGCAGCGTGAAGCCGTCGGTGTGCAGCAGCGCGGCGTGCAGGTGCGCGAGCGAGTGCACGGCGGCCGGCAGCACCACGCCCGCCTGCTGCGTGCCCGCGATCATCTCCGTGTGCCGCAGCCAGCCGCCGTTGCCCGATCCCTCGCGGAACCTACACACCGCACACAACATACGAATGTGACACTGAAAGTTCTTAGAAAATCTAAAACTGAACTAACTAGCAAGTTATTTAACTTTATTTTATCTTTTCAAAATAGTGTCCATTTACATCAATACATCGCTGCATCCAATGGAACCACTGAGAAAAGTCCTATCCTCAGCGTCCATAAAACGTTTTCCCCGAAGATTTTCTTTTGTTTTCAGAAATAAATAAAAATCGCAAGGTGCGAGGTCGGGGCTATAGGGCGGGTGACCCAGTAATTCCACGTCTGACGTCGCCAAGTAGTCGATTGTTTGCTTGGCGGTGTGTGACGAGGCGTTGTCGTGGTGAAGGAAGATCCTACTGCGAGGTAGTTTCTCCCGAACTTTTTCCAAGACAAGTGGCAAACAATTGTTAGTGTACCACTCTGCAGTAACTGTTTTTCGACCCTCTAAAACAATTGTAATGACCTGTCCTTTCGAAGAACGAGGCCACCATCTTTTCCCACGCTTCAAACTCTTCACTTTCAAATCAAATCAAAATCAAAATATATTTATTTCATCAAAAATCTTATATCCTAGTATACATATATATACTTGTGGCAGGCAGCTCCGCCCTTTCATGATGCTTACATACTATACATTGGATGTTTCGAGCTTCCTTAAGTCCAGAATTTAAATTTACAAAAGAAAACTATTGTTATTTATCATAATTTTTAGAATAGAACACTTTAGTTGGCAACACCTCGGAAGGAAACGCCCAGACAGCAGTTGCGTTGCGATGAGAGTCAGGATGTTGGCGGTGTTACCCGTGCCTCCGAAAGCACGTATAGCTCTTGTTTATTTTTATAGGATAGGGTGACAAACGAGCACACAGCCCACCTGATGGTAAGTGGTTACTGCGGCCCATAGACGTCTACATCTATCCTCGATTACGAATCAAAATGCAGATGCGTTGTCATCTGTGAGGACTAAGATGGAATGCCTCGTTTCCATAATTGATAGAATCAGGCGTTACTTTGCGGAAATCCATTATAATAAAGATGAGGATTATAAATTAATTTGCAACCTTCCGCTAACTAAATACAATGATGTGTCTTACCTGGATTGAAGAGCACCTCCCGCCCTCCCTCAATTGCGTGCACCAATCCCGTCACCACTAATCCCAGCACCACTACTCCCACACCACAAACATCGCTATTCCAGGAAAGACACACCATCGACGATAATACGACACGTGTTTCGCCTCTACATGAGGCATCCTCAGGTGATGTAGACTCTACGGCGGTAAGTACTCGGTAGTCACTTCATTCAGACACATCATTGTATTTAGTTAGCGGAAGGTTGCAAATTAATTAATATCTATATTATGCCTCGTTTCCAGTAAAAAGGTTCCATTGAGACTGGCTGCCGGGACCGTAGTACAGTTTGGAGTACATTATTACATATTTATAAACCTTATTTATATAGCTGATAATCTAATTGATATTATGTGATGATCATATTAAACTAAACTTACCTTTGCATTATGGCAGATGGTTGCCCCTGACCAGAACAAAGTATAACAAGTATTCTTAATGCCCACAAAACTGTAGATGGGTGAACGTTTTCTTGCATGAAACTCAACAGCCAATCCATTCCAAGCACGCGTGATATCTCCTCGCAGACTATAGTGTTCACGAGGTTGCGTGCTGTGAACAGCAATCCATGTAGTAGGTTAAAGCACTTATTACGCAGAATGACTTGTTCCCCTTCGCATTCCTTCTCATTGTCGCTCTCTTTCAGATTCAATCCTTTCTCAGTCTGCGACGGTAATGGTAATGTGTACGCCATGAACTGTCCGAGACATAATAAATCACTGGGTCGCGGCTGACCCCCTAAAAGTGCCGCCAATAGTTGTATGAGTACGTTTTTTGTGCTGATGACTTTGACATCGTTAATAATATAAAGGAGCTTGGAGACCAGCTGAAGCTCCCGCATTGTGCGTAGGTTGTGCGTTCTGTGAGCGGTTTCAGTCGCAAGTTCCAACAAGTGCTCGAGTAGAGATTTGATCAGTCCGCCTGGAGCTCCAAGCCAAACTTCCAATTCACAAATCAAGTCCTGCAAACAAGTTATTACTACTACTATATTTGTATTCCATAATTTATCAACTAAACAATCGCAACGCAATAAGCAAACGTAGATTGAAATAGCTTTCAATGTTCTAACATAATATTTCGATTGGTTTGATAAATATCAATTAAACCATATTATTTAATTATCAAAATATTGAGGAAAAATAAAAGATGCAAGCTATTTTACCTGAAATGCAGTCAAATTGGGAATGGAAGAAGTTTCCTTCTGACTGTCGACAGTGCCAACTAATCCGAATATTAAATGCAATATGTGAGAGTTGAGCAACTGCTTCTTCCTTTTCAACAACATGGCGAGTGTTTGGTAGCCTTTCCGTCGGTCCATCTCCGCCTGCGCCGCTTTGTTGGAGCGAACGACGCACACGAGAGCTTTAACACCGGCGTATAAGCACTCCACGTCTTGTGCCATTGCTATTAAGCCGAGTAATACCGAACAACCGCCGACAGTATCAATCTGCAAGAGTTTAAACAGATATAAAACGGTGTATATATAAATTAGAATCATATTAAACAATTGTAGTCGTTACTTGCCCAATTTTCTAAGCGAAAATCAAACTTAAGTAATAGTTGCAATTCTCTTAAAAACTAATCCACTAAATCATATCATTCTCCTACGACATGGGTGTCGTCGGAGGCATCAGAGGGAAACTAAAATAAGGGATGAGTAGCAGATCTTCTTGTTATATATGTTACGGCTAAAGAACGATTTACACTTCGACAAGTACAGTAGCAAGTTAACTTGCGAGTGCGAGTTAAGTAGAAAATCTCGTTTGAACGGCAATAAGCGAGTTAAGTAGAAAGTTAACAACTAAAATGAACAGGATAGCCGGCCGGGCTATTTTTCGGTGAGTTAAGTGCTGTCCCACTGTGCTGTGCTTTAGTGTTGCCCCACCGCGCGTCTCCCGCCACCCGCAACTAAACTCGCCGCTCGTGTGAACGAACGAGTTTAGTTCAGTGCATAAATTGACAGGACGCAACGTTTGCGCGGCAAAACGTATAATTGTACTTTTATAATTAAACTCGTCACAAAATTTGTACGGTATTGTTTATTGAATATTCATACGTTTTATATTATGTTTTAATAATGAAATGGACGGAAGATATCACGTATAAATTCGTACAGGAGTATTTAGAACACGAATGTTTATATAATATATAGTCGAAGTTCAAATTATGAAATTAAACCTGCTCGAGATGCTGCACCAATGAAAATTCTTAAAAACTTTTTTAACAACAACCAGTAATATTTCTCTGACTATATCATTTAATTCTTGATGTAATCCTAGATCCATCTCAAACGAAAACAAGAAAAATTCTGTACTCTCGAAACGTCACACTCAAACGAACTCTATGAACAAATGTCCTTAACTAAATTCGCCACGAAGACATTGTTTGAACGATACTGAGTGCGCAGTAATCGTTTACTGTCAAATGCCATGTAACTAAACTCGCTACTGTACTTGTCGAAGTGTAAATCGGTCTTTATAGCCGAAGTGCGGTTACAGATAGTTCTAGCCGAAAACATGTGTAACCCACCGGCTTTTAGCCGTAACATATCCATCCAAAACGGCCTATGTTTAGCAGTGTATTTTTGATAGACTGTAATGATGATATATGCACAGGTATTAATACTGTGTACAAGTATTTATACTTCAACTTACCATAATCGCTGCAGGTTTAGGACAGAAAACCCTCACGCCCAAATAACCCACAACTGTACCACCTAAGCATCTGGCCGGTCCCATGAGGTGACCAGCCGAGTTATGCAGAACCCTGATAGGAGTTGCATTCTCATGAGAAGACATCCCTAGCTGCTTTGCTATTGCCTTATTGTCATTCTTACTGTACACTTTACGTATCTTCGCTAAAGTGAGCTGTGACATCGCGCGAGCATTGATACCGAACACAACTTTCTCCTCAGCAACCAACGGCGCAAGTGGTTCCTGATTTTGTCCCGGTGGTAAAGGCGCTTGTAGAGTGCCTACGTAGTGTGGACCCAGTTGGTAGATTATTGACACAGTTTGAGCTGACAAAACCTGAAAGTTTATACAATTTAATTCATTAAAGGGATTTTAGACGATATTATTATTATAAAATGTAAAATAAGAAACAGAGAATTAAGAAAAATTAAATAGATTTTTATCAAAAATTAGTCGATTTAAAAATCTGACCCTAACCACGTTAGTATCGCTGTTAATAAATGTGAGAGAAACAAGAGATCATTTGAAAACACTTCATATTGAACGTAAATAACAATCGTACTCATCAGGGATGAACTGAATTGTATCGGGAGGGTACACAGTACTCTTCTCTGGAGTCTCTCTTCTTTGTACACTGCAGAAAACGCGCGCCCAACATGCTCACTCGTGGCGACTGCCTTACGCACCTCTTCGAGCAGTAATGCGGGCCCCTGCCGCCACAGCAGACGAGAGTATCGTCGCCATTGCGGCGGCGTTCCTAGTACGCAGTACACGCTAGAAGCTCCCGAAAGCGTTGCGGCACCTCCCCCCGGGTTTGCGCTCACGTAGTGCAGTTTACCAGAATGCATATGTTGACCTGCAACACCATGTACAAATAATAACTTTTCTACAATGATCTGGAAGTGATAGCACCAAGATATATAACAGATATGTAATAGACAAAATTGATTTAATTAAAGGTCTTCCTATGTCAGTATTATAACTCTTACCGTCTAAATATAGCGAAAATGAAGAGTTTTTTAGTACTGCTCGGTTAAGTACGAGCACCAAATGATGCCACTGGCCTTCGTGTTGCAGATCTGGACACCAAACTCGCGCTCCACACTCCCCAGAACCTTCTGGCTCCCATTCTCCTACATCTGTTGCCACAGTAACAGTAAAAATGAGTGTTTTTAACACCTAAATAATAACAAGATCGATATATCGCAGTAAGACGGTTAAAGCCGTGATATAATTATATCCCTAGGGATATAGCTAAATACCGTAATATGGTTATATGACAGCGGTTCCTAACTTATCTTGCTAGAATAATCTAGTGAAATAATTATAATTGTAAACTGAATGTATAGGAATCGTGTAGAAAATGTTCATGTAATTTGTGGAATATAGTAAAGGTTACTGATCGCAACTTTTGTGCAATTAATGTACGAGGCATGCCATTTAAGTTCTGTCGTTTACATATTTACCGGCAATTTTGAATTTGGAACTTAAATCAATTTTCAAATTAGTTTGGTCAAAATCTCCAAAAAAATTGAAAGTATGAAGATTAATGCTATTTTTTTTAGTCGTTTTGAATCTGTCAGGTCACGTATGAAAATGAATCTTACTAAGGAAAATATTCGTGCAATAATTTTCTACAACTTTCGAAGAGGTCTAACACGGCTTCAGTGTTTCCATGAGCTAACTTATGTGTTCCATGATGAAGTCCCTTGTCTGAGGACTGTCGAACGCTGGTATTTAGAATTCCAGCGTGGACATACCAATCTTAGTGACAAATCTCGTGAAGGACGTCCAAAATCCGCCTTCACCGAAGATAACATCGTTGCTGTAAGAAAACTAACTCTCGAAGATAGTCATGTGACATATCGAGAGATAGAGGTGTTATTAGGCATCTCAGGTACAACCCTACGTTCCTATACTACATAGATATAATTATGCTGCTACCACAATTAACAAAACACAAAACGAGGGAGTTTTAATTTACTATAAATTAAATAATTATTATTATATCTCAGAAATCAACCTAACAGATGCTAATTGTTTGCTCATAAAATTTAATGCTAATTCTGTCTTCCATACAATATAGCCCCCCCAAGCGTAAAGAATTCGCTTTCTTTGAATCGTTAAATAATACTATACTTATTGGGTTAGCACAATATAACAATATAATATTAACAAGAGATATAAATATTGATATATCATCCTCATCAAAACACTCTAAAGCCCATATTTATTTTGATCTATTAGCCTCTCAATGCTACCAGCTTTTAATGTACCAACTCATACCAATTCCTGTTTGGATCACATAATTTTAAAAACAACACAACCCGCACGTTGTCATGTTGCTCACACTACCATCGCAGATCATTACAGCATAATCCTTAGCTTAGATTGGACGGGTAAAAATAGTTATCATACTAAAACAACTTGACTATAAGGCCGTAGACTTAACTTTTAAAGATATAGATTTTACACCTATATACTCAATGCGAAATGTAAATGATGCAGTTACTTTTTTAATTAAGATTCTAAGTCTGGTTATTGACAAATGTGCTAAAAATATAACGGTCTCGAGACGTAAACGAACTATTAAACCTTGGATAACTCGAGGCTTGCTAAAATGTATGAAAAATAGGGACAATTTACATATAAAATCAAGAAAACATCATAATGACACAATTCTTAGAACAACCTACACAAGACATAGGAACTTTTGTAATATCATACTTAAGAAGGTAAAACATGAATATGAAAAGACGGAACTTCGTAAGGCTAAATGTGACGGCAAAAAACTGTGTGAAATAATAAAACATATAACTCACACAACTAAAATCAAAGCTCCAGCTAGAGAACTTCTTTCTAATGATCCTAGGAAATAGATTAATGACTGTGAATATTTTGTAAACATAGGAAGGAATATAGTTGAGTCTATTCAAAACCGCTCGACAAACTTATCCCTGGGCTCACCAGATAAACTCATTTGTATTACTTCCAATGGACGATTCGGAAACCGAAACAATTATATCAAGGCTTAAAAATAACTGCATTGGACAGGACAATATTTCAAGTTCTCTTATAAAACGATACAAAAATATTCGTACACCTGTATTCATATATACATATATTTATATATATATACAGAATGGGGTCCCACATATATGCAATAAATGAAACCACAAGTAATACTAGTCCGTAGAAGTGTAGAAAAATTAAATATTAAATTAAAACCCGTAAAATAAAAAAGTGAAATTTTCAAACAAAATAAATATTAAAATAAATTCAGTAAAAGTGAACACTCTGTTTAGACAACGTACCTTGACCCCTTGGAAGAGTGACAACGTTGCACGCGGGTGGCATGGCGATTGTCGGCACGGCCTATGGTTCGTTGGACAATGTGCGACGAAATAAAAACTTACTCACTAAACTGTTTAGATATTTTACCGCCACTTTTTTATTTCGCGAAAATGGAACTGAACGAAATAAATATTATTGCATATTAGTAGCAAAATTTAATGAAACCCTAAATTTTAAAATTTTCAAAATGTCCGCCACGTTCTTGAATGCACAAGTTACATCGCCGCATAATGTTGTCCTGAAGCCTGCTCAACAAATTTCGTTCAGGATCCAGAGCCAGGGCTTTTAATTTGTTAAAAGCGGCAACAATACGATTGCGCAGTTCATCTTCGGTTTCGGAGATCTTTGAGTACACTTCATTTTTAATAAAGCCCCATAAAAAGAAGTCTAGAGGAGTGAGGTCGGGCGATCGAGCTGGCCACCTGCGAGGGCCATAGCGCCCTATCCATTGTTCGCCGAACATGGTGTTAAGCCGCTCTCTCGCGAGGAGTACGGAGTGTGGAGGAGCTCCATCTAACTGGAACCATACCCTTTGGTAAGCTGCCACAGACAATCCTTCTAAATATTCTGTTATTGGGCCGTTAAGAATATTGAGAAATTTCTGTGCATTCAGGTTTCCGTCAATAAAAATAGGGCCGATTATTTGATCTCCGTGAATGCCTGCCCAAACATTAATGGAAAATCGGTATTGATGAGCTGATTCCCTAAATAAATGGGGATTCGTATGGCTCCAGTAACGCATGGATTGTCGGTTCCATATGCCGTTTCGAGTAAACGTGCTTTCATCTGTCCAAAACACATTTGTTAGGAAACGTTGGTCTTGAGACATTTTTTCCAGTACCCAGTGGCAGTAAGATTCTCTAATCGGCTTATCGCGGGGCAGCAGCGCCTGCACCTTAACATATTTATAAGGGCGTAGTTTGTTCCTTTTCAGCACTCGGTGTATTGTTTTATGCCTCACTCTAAACACACGCCCAGCTCGTCTAAGGCTGCAGGTTGGATTCCGATCGAAATGGTCTAAGACTCGTTGTTCGAACGAGGGTGGAAAGTGACGCGGAGCAACTCCTTCATGAGTGTTGGGCACTATGCGCTGATTTTCCCTGATTCTTTGGACAGCACCTAGGATTGTCCGGACGCTAGTAGGGCAGACGCGAGTTGCGCCGTATCTCTCACTATAAGTACGCAGAGTTAACGCTGAATTTTGGTGGCATTCGCCATACAATAAAACCATGTCTGTATACTCTGCCGCACTGTAAAAATGCTGTTGTCTTGGCATTTTCCGCCGCCAAAACGTATACACAAAAGTCAAGTAGTGTCAATATCACAGTGAAAAAATAATAAAAATAAACGTACTTAAAAACACACACACACACAAAGTCAATTAACTAATAAGTGTCTATTTCACCGTAAAAGAATTGTTCGAATAATTGTATTTATCTTACGATAATACGATAATTATCTTACGATAAATAATTGCGATGCGTGTAGGCAGCGAAACACACCTGTATTCTGGGAGAATTGCGCGTGAACTGGAAGCCGAATTTCCAAATTCCAAAATGGCGAAAATAATAAAAGTAATAAATAGGGCGGCCACAAGGTGCAATTATCGTTTATCGATACTTTTCTTTTTACACTTACTTACCTACTACATTTGAATACAAGTAATTTTGATTTTTGATTTGATAACAATCGACAAGTTATTGATTGTTAAAAAAAATTTATTTTTATACAATTGAACTTACGAAACTACCGATTTGTAACTTCCTGGGAAACGGGTAAGTATGTATGACTTTTTAATTGGTTGTTTTTATTGGTTTTTTATCATGCTTAAATAATTTATTATCTCTAAATCTACAAGAACACACTTAAACAAAAAAGCTTTAAAGTTTAGCTTTAAATACTTAGGTCGTAGTGTTTTTAGAATTATCATAACAACACGATTATTCTAAAAAAAACCATACCCTAAGTGTTTAAAGCTAAACATTTTTTTTGTTTATCGATTATTACTCCCTTTGAAAGAAGCTAATCGTCGATAACTGGTGTCCTACTCTACGACAAAGGCGCGCGCGCACTTGCGCTGTCGCCTTTGAAGTACGCCGCGTGCCTCGTGCCGCTTGTTTATGGACGCCGACAAAAGACACCGCTGTCGATATGTCGCAATACCAATAGTTTGCACTGCGTGGCAACGTCGCTTTTTAATGTTCAAGGATTCAAGTTCATTGAATCATTGACTTAGTGACCCAATTCTATAGAGAGTTCAAATTTGCTTAAAATTAAAACTCTACTTTTTGACCTAATTACTGGACCGATTACGTTCATTTTTTGTATATCGTCAGCAAAGGCGATAACAAGTATATGGTTTCATTTATTGCATTAATGTGGGACCCCATTCTGTGTGTATATATATATATATATATATATATATATATATATATATATATATATATATATTGTATACATACATATTGTATACATATATTTGTAATCTATTTCTAAATAATGGAGTATTTCCTCATGAATTCAAGCGTTCAATGATTCACCCTATTCATAAGAGCGGTAATACGGACTGTGTTGATAATTATCGGCCCATTTCTGTCCTGACAGCATTTTCGAAAATTTTGGGAAAAAGTCGTAAGTAATAGACTAGTCAGGTATCTTGAATCCAAAAATCTCCTATCACATGCACAATTTGGTTTCGGAGATGGCAATGAGTTTTTGGGTTGTACTGTTAAACATACGGACGACAACAAAAAAGTAATAGCAATATTTCTGGATCTGGCTAGGGCATTTGAAACGGTCTCTATTCCACTATTAATTCATAAATTGTACAAGCTGGGAGTCAGAGGATCGCAATTGAAATTCTTTGAAAGTTATCTCACTAACCGATCTTCCCGTTTCTCAAGGCGTACCACAAAGTATTTTAGGTCCTACCCTATTTTTGACCTATATAAACAGCATATGCTAGTTAAAATTGATAAATGGAACTCTTGTTTCTTATGCCGATGATACTGCGCTTTTATTCAGCGGTCACAGATGGGACGAAGCATTTTTTTCTTTTTAATTTTTTTTTTTAAATAAAAAGAATATTAACAATGCTATAAACATTAATAATATTCCCCTTAACCACTCGTAGTAAGCTTAAATTGCTTGTGTTACGAGTGGTTCACGCCAGTAGTCGAACGGCGGATTCGAACCCACGACCTTTTTGAGTTCGCGGTCCGCGCATTGCCATTAGGCTACCGTCGCTTCAATACTTGTATGCCCAAAAATTTGTCCCATTTTACCATACAAAAGAAGCTTTACACATAATTTCTTCTGGTCTTGGGTTCACATCTATATAATAAAATTAATTCCATTCTATCTATATACAAATTTCCCAAATTTAAATGCAAAAAGATGGTAACCCTATAGTTATTTGGTTATTAAGTCAAGACTGAGGAACTACTTAAAATCATGAAATAAATTTATTTTAAAAGAGTCCTCTAACTAATTTCGCGAAATAAGTTTTGACTAACATTCATGGTCAACATATAATTATTTCCCTGTATTAGTCCAGTAAAATAGTATATTTCTAAACTCGTGCTCGTATCATAATTATATTTTTAGTAAGATAGTTATGAATGACTTTCATATTACTATATTACAGTACATAGCTATATCCGTACGGATATAACTATATCACGGCTTTAACCATCTTACTGGGACAGATATAGAATACAATAAAAATTACATAGGCATGAAAATTGCTTATCGTTTCGTCACAGTTTCCTTTTTTATATCAGAAAGATTTTACTAGTACTTTTTGCATTCTATCACAGAAAACTAATGAATTTAGTATGTACTTTAATGAAATTATTTCTTACTATGAGGTACGAGAGTTTCCTGCGTAGAAACGATGATGGCTTTATCTCTGGCGGATAGAACGACGGTGAGGCAGACAAGGTGCTCGTCTCGGCTGTTGTTTATGTTCCGCACGAGTGTCAGCAGACGTACGCAGTGCGGGTCAGTGCGTGGATCTGAATACTTTTCCACACATATCCACGTGGAGTATGACAGACCCGTTTGAGGTGGGAACACCCTATCGCCTTCGAAAAAAAAACACAATATTTAGCACTTAAGGTTGTGCCGGGACATCAACGAGAACGTGATTATTTCTGGCCGATATCAAGATGACGTGACGGCGATCGTTTGTACACCGTGACGTTCTCTGTTAGTTAGTTGTAGCTATACGTCGGTGCGGTGCAACGTCACGGCGCCGGTGTGAAGGGACAAGTTTAAATGTATTTTGTATTTCCGGTACATCGGCCCGTCATAATCTCGGGTCTTAAGCGTCTCGGTTCTTTAAGCTACGGCGACCAGGATGACGGCGCTCGGGCGACGGCCTTGCGGTGGACTGGCGGCTATAGTAAATGTATGTGTCGCTACCTCGGCGATGTCATCTCGTTCTCGCTGACGTCCTGGTGACGGCGGCAGTGGACAATCGCTCTAAGGGTGACAAACGAGCAGACAGTCCACCTGATAGTAAGTGGATGTTGTGGCCCATAGACATCTACAATTTGAGCATAAATGTAGATGTCTATGGGCCAATAAAGAATAAAAATGCAGATGCGTTGCTACCCTTGAGGACTAAGATGGAATGCCTCGTATTCAGTAAAAAAAGATCTTCGTTTCTCACTGCACAAGCACTGTCTGAGATTGATACTTGCCCGGTCGAGTCGACCCATTAGTGCTACAACCATAATATAGCTGCAGCATGGTTACCATGTTGAGCCTGGAGTTGAGTTGAGGTCGGGAAAGTCATAATTCTAACTACTCATTATTCTTTTCTACTAACTTCCTTTAGTCGACTCTTCGATACATACGAAATACGATAAAATAATGAGCTGATATCACATGCATGACTATTTGTATTTTTCTTATTTATATGCTACAATTGAAATAAAACACGAAGCTATTAAAAGGTCCCAATTACCATAAATAAGTTATAATTGAAAACCACTGTTAAATTTGTGACCCACTAAACTTCCCCTTAGTTACAACTATAAAAGTTTCACTGTTTGCAATTAATAACTAACTTTTTTTAATAATAGTTGTGTATATTTAAACCATTTTCCTTTTTCTATACTCGTATATATTTGATGAAGTCAATTCTTCTTTACTTCTGAACTAGCCCGTTAAAGTCCACAGTTGGATATGTGCCTGCCCGTTGTACGAACGATTTTTCTTAATTGTCACACTTGACGGACCGATAGACTATTGCAGTGCTAGACGTCTCGCACAATCATCGTTGATGCCCGTTATCGGTCTACGTATTTCACGTCTGGCGTAAACGTCCATTATCAACACTGAATATAAAAAACGAGTGGAAGACCAAATTGGACGGGGCATTGTGTATCAATATTATGTACAGTAGAGCCTAATTGACTGTCAGTCGTAAGCTCAGATTGTCGTGAGCTTACGTGTCCCTGCTTATTATTTTACCTGTTTATTCACTAACGTATAAATGAAAATGGGCAAATACCGGATATCGATGAAAATCTACGAAATTATAGGATGATACCATATGAATAAACATTTTTGTTGGGGTTGCTAAGCCAGAGAAGTAAGTAAATAGCTAAGTATTACTCATGGCTTTTGGAAAGAAGCTGAAATAAAAGTGATCTTAATAACATGTATCTGAATTCATCATCGTATAAAATAAAATATAAAATATTTTTAAACAAATATGTTTTATATAAAGGACAATAAACAATTGCTTATGTTAATGTTTTTTTTTAATTTCCCTTGTTTCCATTACAAAAATTAAAATTTAGTTCACTAAAAATTATGATTCGTTTTTAGGAAGCTAAAGCTTATTAATTCTAGAAACTTCCTTGATGAAAAAGAAAATGATCTCTATTTTATAGATCTTATGGTTCGTACGCAAGCGAATTGAGTAACATAAAGGCTCTCTCTTTCATTTTTTATTTCTTTTTTATCTCTCTTTTATTTTTTATTAGCCAATCACGTGAAAATCATTGAAATGGTGCACAATTATCGGTACACATTTCTTTCTTGCGAATGTGTGACTTTGGCGACAGTTGTTTGATACAAATTATGCGTTTTGACACTTTATCTTGTTTTTTTGTATTCCGTGGTCATCTATTGGCAGCCATAAGATTTTTTCATTTCCCATGGTCGCATATTTTAGCACTCACGAGACGAAATGGGCAGATGAACTAACTATTGTATAAAATAACTAATGTTAAATTGCTGAGTAAAGAAAAAAAATTACCAGATCCAATTCCACCTAAGGTTGTAGTATCTTGAGTTCCGAGAGCATTCAGATTGGCAGATTGTGGAGCTATACTTGGTAAGTAGAGACAGCCAAAGCCCTCTGCTGACATGTCAAATTCAACGAATGGTGGCAAAGTGCACGAGTTTTGTGATCTGAAATTATACTTCGACTTTTAGCATGTAACATAACATGAAAATACACTTTAAGCACAAAAAAATGACAGCAAATAAAAACAAAAATACGTAGCCAGTTCTAACTAATTAATTGCTGTAAGATTCCAACAAAATTAGACAGAATTTTATTTCATAATGAACAAATGTAAATTTTATAAAGAAATAATTATTTTAGGAAATTCATGTTTTGCAGAACAAGGTATCTTAGCTCTATGATAATCTTTCGTATATATTATAGTCAACAAACCTGTAATCCCTTGGAGTAGTCATAGATACGAGTGTCTTAATTCTAGTGAGTGGAACTGGTCCTCCAGGTTTGCAAACTTGTCCAGGTTCTGGAGCAAGACAGTTTAACGGGTTGCCCATTCGCAAGAATTCGCTGTAAATGTAAGATATTTTTTATAAGACCTTAATTTAAATTATAAAACACAAGAAATTATGTTACAAAACAAAGACAAAATCACAGATAATATAGAACAATATAAGAGTAAGTTTTTTTTATACACAACATCATATTGTCCACAAGGATTTTATGTAATAAAGAGTTGATTAAAACTACTTTTACGGATTTTATTTATTTTATTTTTAATACCCGACGTTTCGGGTGCTTTCCAGCACCCATGGTCACGGGGGACTGAGGTGACTGACGTCCCGATGTCAAAGTTAACCCGGAGTACCTTCAGCTTTTTAATTATTGTCTTTGGTCCGATCTACGCAGAATGAACTAACTGTATTTTGAAGTCTTGCAGTGGTATGCTTGGGTTTAGTTTTAATTTTATTAATTATAGGATCCCAAGCAGGTGGTAGTACCCAGCCTCCTTCTCTATTGAAATTAGGATGTTTTTTAATTTCAATAGCCTCACGTATCATCCTTGGTAGGAATCGATGTTCTTTCGCGAGGATTTGTGGTCTATCAAATCTGATGTAATGGTTGGGGCCATCTAGGATATGATCGAAAACTGCAGACTTCCCGGAACGTTGATGCTTCACGTCAGCTATGTGTTCTTTTATGCGGGTTCTAATTGATCTCTTTGTTTGCCCTATATATGAGAGACCACAATCACAATCAAGCTTGTACACTCCTGCATCTCGTAGAGGAATATGACACTTGACGGATGGTAAGAACCGACTAATCTTCTTCGGCGGCTTGTAGAATGTTCTAATAGAAGCTCGCTTCAAGATGTAGCCAATCTTGTCTGTGACACCTCTGACATATGGTAGTACAGCAGGCACACGCTCGACTGTGGCCGGCTTCACTCGGTCACTGTGACGGAGGCGCGGGACCCGAAGCTTGTTGCCGTGCAGAACCTGCTTGACGTGCTGAAGCTCGTTGGCCAGGTTTTTGCTGTCATAGATCCCTCGTGCTCTCTGTAAAAAAGATTTGCCCACGGTAGCTAACTGAGAAGGACGATGGTGAGATTCACCATTTAAGTATCGGTTTGTATGGGTCTTTGACACCTCTGACATATGGTAGTACAGCAGGCACTCGCTCGACTGTGGCCGGCTTCACTCGGTCACTGTGACGTAGGCGCGGGACCCGAAGCTTGTTGCCGTGCAGAACCTGCTTGACGTGCTGAAGCTCGGTGGCCAGGTTTTTGCTGTTACAGATCCCTCGTGCCCTCTGTAAAAAGATTTGCCCACGGTAGCTAACTGTGAAGGATGATTGTGAGATTCACCATTTAAGTATCGGTTTGTATGGGTCTTTTTTCTATACACAGTATGACCTATGGTGTTGTTAGGATTTCGGATGACTATCACATCTAGATCTAAAATAAACATATTGATAAATTCCAAAAATTAACAACTAAATCAAATGTCCAACATCAATGGCAACGTAAGAACGAAACGACCACAGACACGAATAGTAAACAAGGCGTGGTCTATAACCTGTCAAAACAAACTCTGGACGAACGCCACATTAAAAGTTGTAGGAAGAGGTTTTAATTACGCAATTACACCGCGAAGAATCCCGTATGAAGACACTACCTGCAGTGTTGAGGATTGTCTGTATAAAAATAATATTGGTAAGGAAGATTTAGAGGCCATACGCCAAGACATTTCGTCTATGTTACGTCGAAATTAAATCTTCCCAAAAATGAATTTAACGAGTTAAAAACCTTACGCAACAGACCAGAGCTTACGATTCTCCGCGCAGATAAAGGAAATGCTACGGTTGTAATGGATACGTCGGATCACAATTTTAAAATACAACGTTCCGGGAAGTCTGCAGTTTGCGATCATATCCTAGATGGCCCCAACTATTACATCAGATTTGATAGACCACAAATCCTCGCGAAAGAACATCGATTCCTACAAAGGATGATACGTGAGGCTATTGAAATTAAAAAAAATATCCTAATTTCAATAGAGAAGGAGGCTGGGAACCACCGCGGAAAAAAAAAAAAACCAAGCATGCCACTGCAAGACTTTAAAAACAGTTAGTTCATTCTGCGTAGATCGGACCAAAGACAATAATTAAAAAGCTGAAGGTACTCCGGGTTAACTTTGACATCAGGACGTCAGTCACCTCAATTCCCCCGTGACCATGGGTGCTGGAAAGCACCCGAAACGTCGGGTATTAAAAATAAAATAAATAAAACGCGATAAAATCCGTAAAAGTAGTTTTAATCAATGTATAGTGTTCGCGTAAATATAATAAATCATTAATAAAGAGTTTCCATGTTGTACTATACCATAACATTATTTTAAAAATTACAAGAAATACAAGAGTTGCAGCCTTAATGCTAATGCCCGAGTGCCTTGAAAACTGAATGCCGTCCTACGTTAAAAGTATGCCTGGATCACTTGCGATCTCATGTTATATAAAACTTTTCAAATATAGCAACATACATAATGTTTACGTCTGTGTACATTGTACACATTTATTTTAGCGTGAACCAATTTTTTTTTATTATGTATCAACTACGAGTCCACGGTGGTTTCGCGGTCGTTGGCGTTGCTGGGAAGTTGACCAAACTTGATTATTTAGAGCAGGGATTCCCAATCTGTTTTGGATCAGGGACCACTTTGATTTTTTCTTGATATCAGATAAAGAAAAAGCTATGTTAATCTTACAATCAATATAATCACAACTTTTAATAGTATTATGTAATAAATTTAAAAGAAGCATTCATTACCAGTGTTATTTGTGTATTTATTATAAAACCTACTAGGTTATTAAATAACAAATGTGTTATTTATAAAAATTAGGTAGGCAAAGTATTTAAATCTTTCATAGACCGTATTTAAGCTATTGCGGACCATTAGTTTGGAATCACTGATTTAGAGGAAGTAAAAGTTGTAACAAGGTTTCCGTAGGGCAACCTGCGGAAGGATCATTAACATTAATATACATATGACGTATTTATTACATAATATACATATGATGCAGCACGTGCCGCTCGGCCCGCAACGCCGCGCCGCACACATGCAGCGCCGTGCCCGCCAGCCCCGCGCCGCACGTTCACCTGCTGGTTGCGTACGTACCGCAGCTCGATGGGGCACAGTGCGTGCGCGGCGAGGCGCTCCAGCATGTACATGGCGGGCGCGTGCAGCGCGTGCCGCTCGGCCCGCAACGCCGCGCCTCACACACGCAGCGCCGTGCCCGCCAGCCTCGCGCCGCACGTTCACCTGCTGGTTGCGTACGTACCGCAGCTCGATGGGGCGCAGTGCGTGCGCGGCGAGGCGCTCCAGCATGTACATGGCGGGCGCGTGCAGCGCGTGCCGCTCGGCCCGCAACGCCGCGCCTCACACACGCAGCGCCGTGCCCGCCAGCCCCGCGCCGCACATCACCTGCTGGTTGCGTACGTACCGCAGCTCGATGGGGCGCAGTGCGTGCGCGGCGAGGCGCTCCAGCATGTACATGGCGGGCGCGTGCAGCGCGTGCCGCTCGGCCCGCAACGCCGCGCCTCACACACGCAGCGCCGTGCCCGAAAGCCCCGCGCCGCAAATCACCTGCTGGTTGCGTACGTACCGCAGCTCTATGGGGCGCAATGCGTGCGCGGCGAGGCGCTCCAGCATGTACATGGCGGGCACGTGCAGCGCGTGCCGCTCGGCCGGCAACGCCGCGCCTCACACACGCAGCGCCGTGCCCGCCAGCCCCGCGCCGCACATCACCTGCTGGTTGCGTACGTACCGAAGCTCTATGGGGCGCAGTGCGTGCGCGGCGAGGCGCTCCAGCATTTACATGGCGGGCGCGTGCAGCACGTGCCGCTAGGCCCGCAACGCCGCGCCGCACACACGCAGCGCCGTGCCCGCCAGCCCCGCGCCGCACATCACCTGCTGGTTGCGTACGTACCGCAGCTCGATGGGGCGCAGTGCGTGCGCGGCGAGGCGCTCCAGCATGTACATGGCGGGCGCGTGCAGCGCGTGCCGCTCGGCCCGCAACGCCGCACCGCACACACGCAGCGACGTGCCCGCCAGCCCCGCGCCGCACATCACCTGCTGGTTGCGCTCGCTGCACCGGAAACCACATACACACCACGCTTACTATATAGTATACACGAACAAACTATAACACCCTGTTTCACTCTCATCACTCTTGTAATATTTCTGATTTTTGATAGGATATAATAAATAAACTGTGTAGTAAGTAATAATTATTGATAAGTACTGTAATTTCTGTAGACCTAGTGTTGAATATTATTTTTATTAAGAACATTGTTAAAATATAAACCAAAACTTAATATTAACAATATCATCGAAGAAATTATGATATTTTTATATAAGATCGTATAAAGCATAGCCAATCGCTATTTTGAAATTTTTTTTTTGTTTATTTTCAAGAATACACAAATAAAATCAAAAAAGTCGATAGAACAGCAGATAGAAACAAGAATCAAAAGAAATAAAATATCAACAACGAAATAAAGTAAAACCATTAATTAAAATAAGTATTTAACACATCGCATTGAAGTTAATGTGCAATAATAAACGTTAAATAACGCGATGTTTTCTTTCCACACGGGAGCCGTGGTAAATCAGCACTTGAAATTGCAATTAATATTTGCATGGGTGCCGTCGGAGATCATGCCCGGAAATCTTGCTTACTGTGAAATATACGGCGAGCGATTAGCTCCTGAGTTGTTACGACCCATTCAGCACGTTTTACAGCGGCGCTGCTTGTATTATTTTGTTGCTTGTATTATTAAGTTTTACTGTACTGCTAGTTATTTATTAAGGCCCCGTGCGCGAAATCAACTCATTTCGGACAAATCTGATTACTGTTTGTGTGAAGAGGAAAACGAATTTTAACTTCTTTTATTTTTATTATAATAGTCTAGTACTTAATCTAATACAGATATTATAATATGATACATCCCTTCAAGCCAGAGCATGAAGGGATTTATCACATTATCTATATAACCTTAATGGCAAACACCAATATTTCATAACCCTTTTTCCGAAAAGTAACGATCAAGTGATTTTTGTCTTCGTTTTACAACGAAACTACAAAATATTTCAAACTTTAAAAAAATATAAATAACATAAGTATACGGTTTACTTGTTTGTAGCCATATCAGTTTTTTGAATTTCTATCCAAATATAGCAGAAAAAAATTGTTGAAATAACTAATTTCCAGAAAACTTCGTCCGAAATAAGTTTTTTTTATATTACATAGAAACACTTTTAATTAATTTAAAAAATTACACATTAATCTTAAGATAACCCTTTATTGGAAACTAAATTTTATTTCATAAATAACTAACCTAACTAATTTCGTTTATTACTAAATGGCAAAGCGAACTATATTATCGACCGCGCAAAATCGATCCTATCAGTGACGACCGGGCCTTCCCAGAGCGAGGACGTATCACCTTGCATCGCAGGCGCTCCCGTGTTTTACGTAAACATTTCCAGAAATTGTACGCCGACCAATTTTGATCAGGGTAAATATTTTTTTGGATAGTTTGTTTATTAAGAATAATAATATGTTGCACGCCTACTCTTTATATAAAAAGGTCAGGTGTGCGTGTTCGTAATTCTTGTTATCCTAAACGGCTACACCAATTATGATGATTTTTTTCTTTGTATGTGATCACCTGGGTGGTTCTTAGTACCTAATAGACCCGGCTGCTGTCTCAGTACGTCTGCTATGTTCATTGATATTTTATTTTTGATACAGATACCATTCATCAAAATACGTTTTTTTGTCTACTGTTGCATTTCATTAATATAATAAAAATACCACCCGCGGCTGCATCGAATTGGGTCAAAATTAAGATACCTAAATTGTGATCTATGGCAGGGTGACGAACCTATAAAGATCAACGTCCATAGACAAGCGGCCATAGACGTGCCATCCAATAATTATTTTTTTATTTTAACCGATATTGGACATAGATTTAAACTAAATAGGCCGAATGTTTTATCGAAAATACAGTATCCTTTAGCATGTTCGGCTTATTTCCAAAATGTGTACTTTGTATCCCTCATGGATAAAAATAAATTCAAAACATTGAGTAAATATTATAAAAGAAACGAGTATTATCAATTTTAAAATCAAAGTATTTACTTGACGTGTACGTCACGCACTCGTACTCTGCATTTTATTTATCCCTTTAACATTCCGTTTCTCATATACGGCCTAATATTTAAATTTAAATGTTTTGCATTTACAAAAAGTTTGTTTTAATGAAATCACGATGTTTGATTTACCAATAAGACATGTTAAATTTGTCTGTACTCTCTAGCAGACATTAATGACATCGCAGAACGAAAACATTGAATTACTTAAATATATATGCATAGTGTATTTGTCTAACACATTTCTTTTTTATTTTCATTTTATGTTGATTGTAATATACTAAACTATTATACAAAATCGTCCCAGACTTTTATTTCTAAACCGTAATTACTATGTATCCTAAAATAATTATCAACTAAAGGATCAAAATTGTTTAAGCGAGCACTGCGCTCGGTCTTTAGCCTGCGTAAACGATGCACACAAAGATAGCATCGCAATGAATTTGCCTAAACTCTATCGAATAAATTTTCTGCACGGCCTCTTAATTAAAAAAAAAAAAATACAAACTGTGCTTGGTACAAGGGTCAGTTAATCATTCATGTCGTTTTTATTATTTATTACAAGATTTATACTTAGGTACGAGCTCGCTTAATATACGTATATACTTTACCACTGAATTCATATAGGAATATTTTCAAAGGTGACAAAATGAAAAGGTCAAAATACCAGACATTTAGCGTAGTAAATATTTTTACGTCAAAACACAAATTAAAAATATTATATAAATAATGTCAACGACCAAAAAAAATCTTAGTGATTAATTTTTGAGATAGTTAACAATATCCCAGCTGAAGAGTGTGGTTTGCAAGATGTTGTGACCAAGATTAAGAAAGGAATGCTTCGGTGGTTTGGTCATGTGGAAAGAATGAATGAGAAAAGAGTGACAAAGCAAATTTATGTAGCAGAAGTGAACGACGAGTAGAGTGAGACAGAGTGAGTGACGAGCATGTATGCATAGGTATATGGATGTGGAGGAGGCGAGAGAGGTGTGTCAGGATCATGCCAAATGGAAGTCTGTAGTCTCTGCCTACCTCTTGGTGACAGGCGTGAGTGTTATGTTCAGCGAACAAAGTAGCAAAAACCAAAAAAAAGGTATAGATTATCTGCAGATTATGGGGTGCGATCAGTGAATGTCCGAAATTTTACTTAAAATAGCAAATATCTGGACTGTACCTAGTTCTAATAATCTGCATATTAACGGATGCTACGCTGTTAAATCGCGGAAGACAGAGAGTTGATTATATTACAAATAATTATATTTTTTTGCAGTCAAAAGTAGTTTTTATTCAGGATATAGGTGAAAACCACTTTTGGCTGCAAAAATATTAAATAATAGTGATTTTGACCAAGAATGTTAGACAAAACTACTTTTGACTAATTTTTTTTAAATAATTAATTTCAATTCTTTCATTATTATATTGTATATCATTATTTAATATAATTATTTTGCATCATTTATTTATATTAGCTAGTTAATCTGCACTCTGATTTACGTACTTTAGCGTTTGTTTAACATATACACTATTTCAAATGTATGCAATTAATAAAGCGTTTTCTTACCTTCTAACTAGACTCTTGAGCACATGAGCAAGATAATCACGTATAGCTCTAGCGTAGTTTTCATGCTCATGCGGACGCGGTAGTGCCGGTAGCAACTTAGCGAGCACTATGACAACACCCGAATGTACCACCCAAGCCTCCCCCGATGGACTGCCTACAGAAAGATTTAATGGAGCCGCACGTCCCGCTGGCTTCGTCTGTGAAATTAGTTCAGGTCTATGAAAAATTATTTTAAATATTTTTCCGTATCCTAAAATATAAAAGATACAAAAACCGGTTCACAATTAATAGTTAATTGTCAGCTAGCTTGTTTATGATTAAAACTAATTGTTAGCTATATTTTGAATAAAAAAATTGTAAATTAGGAAAAACAGTACTCCCATCTAAACTACTGTCTTATGTTAATTTATCATCATTTAATCATAATTAACCTACCTCATTTATGGCAGAACTTTGTCTGGTCAAACTTGGCGATTTCACATTTAGAGATCCACAAAATGTGGGCTTGTCAAATGAGTCCAATGCAACATCATACAATAACCTCAACACTATACAAGCATGGACAAAAACAACTGGCACTTTCTCAGGGTTACTGAAAATAAAATGGCAATACAATAATAATAATAATAAGGATTATTATAAAAATCTTTCAACTTTCGTGTAGCACATTATAATTTTACGTACGTCATTTCTAGCATGTTTCCCGTGAAAATCTCGTGAAAAACCTCATACAACTCTGGATCACCACTTTCAGTATCATGCAATAATTCAGTATCATTTGTGAAGCATCCCAACAGTCGTATGGTTTCACATAATGTAGTCATACATATCTGAAAAAAATTGCTACTTTCTTAAACCCCAAAGTAATGAATTAGTAAGTATGAAGTGGTAAGAGAAGAGAGTCCCCCCCCCCTCTCCTCTTACCACTTCTGGGAAAAATATCTATATAAAAATACTCAGAACGAAGTTAAGTAAGTACATAGGCACCTGTATTTTTTTAAATTTAGATTTGTTTAGCCAATTTAGGTATAATTTAGCTTAGACAATTGGGGAAAGCTTAGCGATGTCCATTTTATTAGGGATGTCATGATTATAAAATGTAAATTCAAATAGAAAAAATATTAAATCCTGTACAAACCTCGTGGTGGAAAAATTTAGCATTAGCTGGTTCGAACCTCATTGCTGTACTGATTGTATAAAAGACAATATGTATTAACTGCAACATATCGCGATCCATAAACTCGTCGCTTTTGAGTTTACCCTCAAGAGATGCGAGGACGCTCGTGACGTAGACGAAACCGCTAACCTATTCAGAAACAGAACACACCTAATGAAATGCTGTAAAATACTATAATTGCTTGCGTAAACATTTAATTTTAATTAAAAAATCATTCAAATTTATTTTTAGACATTTTAATGAGATGAGTTTTCATTTTCTTAATCTCATTATTACAGATCCTTACAAGTCCACTGCTGAACATGGTCCTATCCCAAGGATTGGAATAAATCACGGTCTTGAGCACCTGCAAACATTCACTTCCCGCATGTCTTACCAGGTCGTTACTCATTCTTGTTGAGAGATGTGAATGAAATGAAACTAAATCTGTGAACAGTTTCAAAGCTCGGCTAGAATGTCTTTTAACATAGGAATAGCGGGACCGCCGGAGACTGGAGGCCATCTCTTTGTACTGTTACGAAGGCGACACTAAAGTTTTTAGAAATGGCCACTTGTCAAATTTTAAAAATGGAACACTTTGCCAATATTATTGTGTATGTATTTTATTAATTTGTCATTTGTTTATGATTTGGCGGCAAATTGAAAATTGTGTGTGTCACGTCAACATGAATTCAACGCGAGAAAAGTTTCGTACAATGATATTTTATGACTTGCGATCATTCAAGCCAACAAGAAAGTTATTATAGACTTCGATTGGCCTTTCATGATGAAGTCCTATTTCATGCCACTGTTTACAACTAGTTTAATGAGTTTAAACGTAGTCACACCAATCTCACGATGATCTGCGTGAGGGACGGCCCTCTTTGTCAACGACTGAAGATAACATCAGTGTTGTGCGGCGTATGATACAGACTGACAAAAGAGTGACTTATCAGCAGATTTGGACAAGCTTAGGCATTGGTGCCGTGTAGTGGCGGTTGAGAATATCCACTACCCCATATCTTCCCGTGGGTGTCGTAAGAGCCGACAGAGGGAGACAGGCAGGAGATGGGCAGCAGCATCTTCCCGATAACAACAATAATATTATAAAAAAACTGCGGTTGCCGACCCGCTGGCCAAGCGTGGCAACTATGGCAAATATCCCCCCATGAATAACGACGCAAACAAACTGCCTCCAGTCCCCGGCGGCCCCGCTATTCCTGGCTACGGTGGCGACCATGGTAACGGCAGGGCAGGGGGTGCTAAGAATCTCCGGTGGAGGTTCGGTTGCCACCTACGACGACTCGACCTGGCAACATATAACGCACGCACCCTGAGGACTGACGAGAAGATACTGGAGCTGGAAGAAGAGGTAGACAAGTTGCGCTGGCATATTATTGGATTATCCGAGGTCCGAAGAGAGGGGGGAGGACACGGTAATCCTCGAATCCGGCAACTTGTTCTATCACCGGGAGGGCGACCATCTGTCCCAAGGAGGTGTCGGATTTATCGTCCACAACTCTCTTCAACAACGTTGTAAAGATTGGGAGTGTGTCGAGGTACCTATACCATCATGAAGGTCATACAGGTTTACGCACCAACCTCGGCACATCTCGATGAGGAGGTGAAGGATATGTATGAGGATATTTCTAGAGCCATGCATTCCTCCAAAACCCACTACACGGTGTTGATGGGAGACTTTAACGCAAAACTAGGCGCAAGAGAAAGCGGTGAGCTGAAGTTAGGGAAATTTGGAGTAGGGTAACGGAACCGTAGGGGCCAGCAGCTGGGCGACTTTATGGAGAAAGAGGGACTCTTTATGATGAACTCATTCTTCCAGAAGCGGCCCCACAGGAAGTGGACCTGGTCGAGCCCCGACGGTTCGACAAAAAATGAGATTGACTTCATTATGACGACGCTTATGACGATGCAGACGCTAACTGTTCAGTGATCTCTCAGTGATCGCAAGGTTGAAAACTGGCAGCGATCACCGAATGGTTAGAGGCACATTGAACCTGAACGTTAAGTTGGAGAGGTCTCGTCTAATGAAGTCAACGCTCCGTCACCCTCGTGCTCTAATCCAGAATCCCGAAACCTTTCAGCTCGATTTACGTAACCGCTCTCAGTGCCTAGAAGATTGCAATGCAGTGGACGATATGAATGACAAGCTCGTGGAAACTGTCCATGCGGTCGGAGCTAAGTTCTGCAAGACCCGCCGCAGAAGAACACAAAAACTCTCCGATCACACTCTTAATCTCATGGCTGTTAGACGGGAGATGAGGTTGCAATCGTCAACAGATTTGACAGCATACAGGCAACTGAACAGACAGATCTCCAAATGCATGCGGCGAGACTTACGCAACTTTAATACTGCTCGTATTAAAGAAGCGATTGAGCGGGCTCCAAAGTCTTTGCCAGAGATCTGCTTGCCAGAAAGAGCCAACTGTCAAAGTTGAAGACAGTGTGGTGTGTTTAGGATATTAAGCGTAGCAAATTTCCAATGAAAAAAACGTATATTTGTATGTGTTTGTATAACGTGTTTCTCAATGTGCTATATAAAATGAAAACACATATTCGGTATCTTATTTCAGTTATTAGCCTCATTACGATTCTAAATACAAACGCACATAATATAAAAAGATATAACTGTGATTATTTGTTTTATCGGATTTACCTTTCTAAAAATTGTTCTAGTTCGGTGCGAATCACGAAGACACGTGAGTAGCGCCTTTAAAATATGAAGTTTGAGTAGCAGCGCATCGTTGGGTGCTGCGTGCATTCCGCACAGTAGTGCAGACATGTCCTCTTCGCCTGATCCGCTTACAATTAGCTCCCTTATCACACCTTATACAAACAATTTAAAGATTTTACAAGATATATTCAAAACTCTACCTGATGTGTAAAGGTACTCAAATGCAGTTCTAATCATAAATTCCTTGTATTAAAATAAATTAAAAATGGAATCGAAGTTGTTGTTGAAGAAGTACAATAAACAAATGTTACAACTAATGTTTAGTTAAAGGTTCTTGTTTTGTTTCCTTTTTTATCTATTTAATATTAATTGTGATGCTTTTTGATGTGGCTTTACTTAATATTACGTTAATTAATTGACGTGGTTTACTTAATATTACGTTAATTAATCGACGTGGTTTACTTAATATTACGTTAATTGACGTGGTTTACTTAATATTACGTTAATTGACGTGGTTTACTTAATATTACGTTAATTAATCGACGTGGTTTACTTAATATTACGTTAATTGACGTGGTTTACTTAATATTACGTTAATTGACGTGGTTTACTTAATATTACGTTAATTAATTGACGTGGTTTACTTAATATTACGTTAATTAATTGACGTGGTTTACGTAATATTATATGATGTAGATACATACATTTGAATGAATGTGTTAACTCTAATTATCTACTTTTATGTTTTTTATCATGTATTAGAGTAATATGGAAAAAATATATATGATAAAGTACCACTACCAAGTTTGGTGTTACACAACCTAGTAATTTTTCTAAAAATAAGATGCTTGTGTCAAAAGCTATATTTATTATCATAAATATTTAAAACAAGAACTATATTAAAAAATACCATTTACAATATATATACGTGGTAGAGCCATGCTGCAGTTATATTAGTAGTATAGTTGTAGCACGAATGGTTCGGCTCGACCGGGGAAGGACCACGCTCTCACAGAATACCAGCATGAAATAGTAGCTTAATGCTGCTGTATTTCGTATGGTGAGTGTAGAGAACCGGAGACCCTTTTTACTGGAAAAGAAGCATTCCATCTTAGTCCTCACAGGTGACAACGCATCTGCATTTTGATTCGTAATCGAGGATAGATGTAGATGTCTATGGGCCGCAGCAACCACTTACCATCAGGTGGACTGTGTACTCGTTTGTCACCCTATTCTATAAAAAAAACAAATATGTAGTGTTAAACCTATTTAAAATTTACTTACCTAAAGCCTTACTTCTACAAGATTCATGAACCACCATACCATGAACACACTTTGCACCCCCGCAATCTCTAAACACGTTACAATTATTTGTATTCCCGTTTAATAACGCTGTCAGTCCTTCCATTACTAAAGCTCCCAACTCTTCTTCCTCTGCATCAGAATTTGGATCTTTAATCAAAGAATCTTGTTTAGAGGACAATCTTTTTCTTCTCTCGGGCGCTACGGGAGATTCACTCGAGGTGGTCTCTACAACATCCTTTTTATTTTTCTCTTCTTCGAGTATTTGCTTATCTTTAAGAAAAGCTGCGTAACGGGACAGACAGGTAACGAAGACTTCTAGCATCCCCACCTCTCGGTATACATCTTTGAAAATCGTGTTGTGCCTGAAAAATAATAACACAAACAAAATAAAATCGCCAAGATTTCCACAAAATGATTACATATAAGAGTTAAAAACCAGAATCATATGCAATTATGGAAATAAAACCCTTGATAACAATTTTTTAACTAATAAATTGTATATTAGCTTAAAAGCTAGTTGGTCTATGTACTTGCACCGATACGGTTTTTTTAACAAGCATAATCTAAACATATAAATAAAATTGAAGTACCTCTTTGTAATATCGAAATAACTGCTTTTTATTGAGCTGGTTAGGGGCAGTCCTTTAACCACGTGAGGCTCGAGGGGCGGGGGGAAGGATCATGATGATGAAGGGTCATCATCATCATGTTGTAATATTATCACGTGTATTTATTTTTTCCTCAAACGCGCGATTTCTAAACCGAAAAGCGACGTGTAATGTTACCTCGACTCGCCTTTACCAGTACAATATAAATTCATGTAACAAGCATGAACCTTCAATTATAGCAATAATAGTCTAGAAATGCAAAATGTTCGTCCTTCACGCACCTTTGTCATGGTTCTCAATTTCAGAATAAAACGAGATTATACTTTATAGGTACTAAAAAATACACGTAATTTTGGGTGGGGTTTAGTTTTAAACCTCACAACGTATTATCAAGAGGGGGGGAGGGTTGTTAATAATTCAAAAAAAAACATCACGTGATTAATGGACGGCCCCTTAGCAAGCTAGTAAGTCATGAATAATCATTATTAAAATTTTAATTTCTCTATCTGGCCGGGCTGTATGGTTGAACCGATTGCAATGAAGTTTTGAGAACAGATAGAGAACAATACCAAGCTTGATCAGGGCTATATGGACTTCGAAAACTAAGTTTTTTGGGAAATCGAAAAATTTATAAAATAAATGATTTTTGATTGAAGTTTATCTTTAATTTAAATACCGCTACGTTGATATAGATCCTACCCAGGCCAAGCCAGGGCGGATTGCTAGTCTATAATAAATATTAAATTGCAATACCATGAAATGTTATTTTCAAGATCAATTATTATTATCATTGATCACACTCATGTCATCGCTGCTACGCTTGGCATGAGAATTGGCAACAGCACTTTTTATCCTGAGTATATTATTGCATTGGTATCGGGAAGACGCAGTTGCGCATCTCCTCTATCACTCTGTCTCTGTTGCCTGTTCCGACTCCCGCGGGTTTGTGTGACATCATTAATAAATAATAATAAAATATAAAATACTTACTTTAAAATATTCAGCAAAGTTTTCATACACAATATGCTACAGCTCCTTGATTTATTCGCTTTCAACAATAAAGATAGGGATATCAACTCTTTACATGGAACAAAGTTCAACTGAAATACTATGAACTCCAACAGTTCAAAGAACTTCTCTTGTATTTCGGCATTTTTCGTGTAAATTTTTTCTGAGAATTGGCTTAGGGTATTTTGATTTTCCAGTATGAAGTAGTTAGCATTATCTGCATGATACACACTTGAGATTGCATCTAGGATAGTGCAGCAAAGTGCTGGTGAGGTCGATTTTATAAATACTGATTGTAGAACCTAAAATTATTAATTTAAGTTGAAAAATAATACAATTAACTATTCAAATGTGGTGGAGCCACGCTACAGCTATATTATAGTTATAACACGAATGGGTCCGCTCGACCGGAGTAGGACCCATGCTCTCACAGAATACCAGCATAAAATAGCAGCTGTATGCTTTTATTTCGTATGGTGAGTGCAGAGAACCGGAGACCCTTTTTACTGGAAACGAGGCAATCCATCTTAGTCCCCAATGGTGACAACACATCGGCATTTTGATTCTTAATTTAAGATAAATGTAGATGCCTATGGGCCACAGCATCCACTTCACTTACCATCAAGTGGATTGTATGCTCGTTTGTCACCTATTCTATAAAAAAATTGAAAGTTTTTATATTAAGATACTGCCGATCATTATTGGCGAATGAATACTATTTCTTTGAGAATAATACTACTAGATTGTACATTTTTTATTTCTCTCTTTGGAAATATGTTTAATACATGTTCATTAATATTTCAGTAGTCTTGAATGTTGTGGCCTTTTAAAAACTACCATGCCAAAAATAATGGAAAACCTGGCTGGTTCGTGTGAAGCTGTTTATTACGATTTTCATTAATTTTTAAGTAGAAACAATATTTAAGTTAGCAAGCGCAAGTTGATTAAAACTACTTTTACGGATTTTATCGCGTTTAATTTTACTTCCTTTTATTAAAATATTATTATTTTTAATTCCCGACGTTTTGGGTGCTTCCCAGGACCCACGGTCACGGGGGATTGAGATGACTGACGTCCCGATGTCATTGTTAAACCCGGAGTACCTTCAGCTTTTTTAATTATTGTTTATCGTCCGATCTATGCAAAATGAATTGACGGTGTCTTGAAGTCTTGTAGTGGTATGCTTGGGTTTGTACAAGTTATACTTGCAGTATTACTGTAATGTCTCCACTGAAATTATTACATTGCATTTCTCAATGTTCCCAATTTCTAGACTTTTCTGAACGGCTAATAGACTGTTGGGGCTAATAGAATGTGGTGATTAAGTAAAATTTTGGTGGTGAAGTGTCTTTCCTAATAAATGTTTAATAAAGGACAGGTTTAGTTTTTTTTCCGGAAACGAGTTATATAAATGTAATCTAAACTTTCAACTGACTAGAATATGCGCCAAAGAGACATAATATATGGAGGATGCTCAATTTAGAAATAACACTCTAAAGAAGTAGTCAATAATGGTGCGTTTGTGTGATTATTATTTAAAAAATATACCTGAAAAGCTTGCACATTCCTAACAGCTTGACCGGGCGTTGACGGCTGTGGCAACACAAAGCCTTGCAATTGGAATAGTTCGGTATTGGCACGAGTTGGGCGTAGCTCAGAGAAACCACAGGCGCAAAGCGACGAGATCATCAACACGAGATTTCTTAAAGCAGCTTTGGCCTCTGTGCCGCTTACGCGTTCCTCTTCCAACCTAAAATAGATAAAATTTTCTTTGCCTGACAATACCAAGTATAAAATAAATGAAATGCAAATAGCAATTATAAAAAAACAGTTCCAGACCAATATTAAAGTTAGCTCTTTGCTCACACATGTAGGAACATATTTCAAATATTTAGTCATAAATCATAATATTATATTATAGTTTCATTAAACAAACAATTTACGTATTATTTATTTGATATTAAGAAAAATTTGATTTTGCGAAATACATTCAGGCGTAGACACAAAGGACAAACAAATTAATCTTACTCGATGCTATTATACAGCATGATTTATTTGATAATTACATATTTTTATTTTATATTTAACTTAATAAAAAGATAAGCAATTGAAGAGAAAACCCAAAAGCAACAAAACAGTCAAAATACAAAACAATATGTATTAGTTTACATGTATTTTTACAGTGCTATAAAATAACTAAGCTTTGTGTTTTAAATAACGAAGATTTTGTTTTTATAAATAATACAGGATCACTGGGTGTTATTAGAACTTTTACAACAAGTATGGTAACAAACAGTAAAGGAAGACGGCGCGGCGTGGAGTCGCGGGAGAAAGGGAGTATTGGTATGCCTAGTCCAGACACATTTTGCGCTATTGCGATGCACCGCCCTCCCCTCCCCTTCACGGCTGAAATGTTGTAGGTGACAGAGCTACATCTGCCGCTGGAGTCACGGCAGACAGTTCAACAGTCGTAAAAGTCGAAAAACAAATAGAACACAATTAAAACCTTTTTATGTGTTCCTATGTATATTTTTATGTGTGAACATCATTATATCTATACATATAAACAATATTTAACTATCTGTAAAGGGGCGTCCGTTAAATGTAAGATAATTTAGGCGATTTTTCTACCTTCCCTCTCCCTCTTGTGAGTGAGATATGGCTAGACCCTCTCACCCCCTCTTCAAATATCACATATGATTTTCTAAAATGCGTATTTTTTGTATAAACCCCTTAAACTATGCTTGATTTATTTAAAACAATAAATTGCTTATTTTAATATAATTTGTGGAGTTCGATAACTGTGATATTATTGTGTATTATTTAGATAATTTTCTCGAAATTTTACACTGTTGCCCTCCCTTTTACCCACGTAAGGTTGGGTAAGATTTGGCTCGTCTCCCTCCAGCCCCCTAAACACGTCACATAATTAATGGACGCCCCCTAATATTGAAATAATTGCTTTATATTGAGCTGAGAAGGTTATTTGAATGACATTAAGACATAAACAAACATATCCAAAACATTTGTCTGTCTGTCCACGCTAATCTACGGAATGGCAGAACCGATTGCAACGAAGCTTCAAGAACAGATAGAGAGCAATCCAGAAGTTATTATACATTTCATCCAAAAGAACTTACTTTTTTGAGAAAAAAGATATTTGTAAAATAAATCTTCTTCGATTATCTAAAACCTATTCAACATTAATAGCTCTGTTTATAAAAAATGTTATGGATGTAGAAATTAAGCAGGAAGTGCTATCTGAAGAGGAGTATAATGCAGTGGAAGGACGTAGACAGGCTGAATAAGCAAATCTTGAAATTAAAATATACCTGAAGAGTTAATACAACAGCAGCCAATACAGATAATAAAACTTGTGGAACATGTAAAGACCGTAACTGAACTAACATAGCCTGATAACACTATTTTAAATGGGCATATACATAATATAAAGAACAATGTTATTGGATTAACAAATGGCATTGATAGTAAAACAGATATCAACCAAGGTAAAATAAGAGCCTATAAGTTATGTGTTTTTTATTTTCTTTTATTTTTGATATCAATTGCATACTCTGTATAATGTAAAGTGGAAGAGCGGAGTCACCAAACACAAGCATCTCCTTGCTTAAAAGGTGTTCTCCAGATCATGTATGTTAAAACATTGTATAATTGAAATAAACATTTTTAATTTAATTAATTTAATAAGTGATGAGGATGATAAAGAGGCAATACCCAGCGACCTCCTTTTGGAGTATAAGGCGCACATAATTGCTCAAAATACCTATAAAACTGTAAGAAGATTTTTTTTAATATTTCCTTAGAGAAGAAACAAAAAATCACGGTTTCATTTGGTGAACATGTTAAAGAAAATTCACAATGAATAAAACTATTATTTACGGATTTTATCGCGTTTAATTACTTTAATTTATTTTTATTATCCCGACGTTTCGGGTGCTTTACAGCGCCCATGGTCACGGGGGGGACTGAGATGTTTGACGTCCCAATGTCATAGTTAGTCCGGCTACCTTCAGTTTTTTAATATTAATTTTTGGTCCGATTTACGCAAAACGAGCTTATAGTATCATGAAGTCTTGCAGTGGTATGCTTGGGTTTGGGTTTAATTTTGTTAATTATAGGATCCCAAGCAGATGGTAGCACCCAACCATCTTCTCTACTGAATGAAGGATGTTTTTTTTAATTTAAATAGCTTCGCGTATCATCCTTGGTAGGAATCGGTGTTCTTTTGCGAGAATTTGTGGTTTATCAAATCTAATGTAATGGTGGGGACGATCTTGAACATGTTCGCAGACTGCAGACTTCCCGGAGCGTCGGTGCTTCACATCAGCTATATGTTCCTTCACGCGGGTTTTTATAGATCTCTTTGTTTGACCTATGTAAGAGAGACCACATTCACAATCTAGCTTATACACACCTGCATCTTGTAGAGGAATATTACATTTGATGGATGGTAAAAATTGACTAATCTTCTTCAGCGGCTTGTAGTATGTCTTAATGGACGCTCGCTTCAAGATGTAGCCAATCTTGTCCGTGACTCCTCTAACATATGGTAGTAGGGCAGGCGCGCGCTCGACTGTGGCCGGCTTCACTCGTTCACTGTGACGTAGGCGCGGGACCCGAAGCTTGTTGTCTTGCAATACTTGCTTGACGTGCTGAAGCTCCGCGGCCAGATGTTTTCTGTCACAGATCCCTCGTGCTCTCTGAAACAAAGATTTACCCACGGTAGCTAACTGTGAAGGATGATGGTGAGATTCACCATTTAAATATCGGTTGGTATGGGTCTTTTTCCTATACACAGTGTGACCAATAGTGTTATCAGGATTTCGGATGACTAAAACATCTAGGAAAGCTAACGAATTATTTGCCTCTAACTCCATTGTGAATTGTATTTTAGAGTTTATGGAGTTAAGGTGGTCTAAAAATGCAGTTACTTTGTCAGATGGTAAAATTGTGAAAGTGTCGTCTACGTACCGCTTGTAGAACCTTGGATTTACAGGAGCAGTAAGAAGGGCTTTCTCCTCAAAGTCCTCCATGAATATGTCGGCGACTATGGGAGACACAGGTGAGCCCATCGCCACACCATCTACTTGCTTGTAGAACTCCTCCTTCCACAATAGACAGCCAGATGTGAGGCAATGTTCAAGTAGTATTGCATATTCTTGAGGCATGTTATTTTCTTCTAGCTTCCTAGTTACAATTGAGACGCAGTCCACAATAGGTAGGCATGTAAATAGTGACTGAACATCAAAACTGACCATAGTTTCATTGTTAGCGAGATGTAGGTCTTTTATCTCACTCACAAAATGGTATGAATCCTTTGTGTGTGCTCTGGTATGTCCTCTTAGTGGTGATAGTATTTTTGCTAAGTATTGTGCCAGCTTATAAGTTGGTGAATCGATCTGGCTCACTATGGGACGTAGTGGAGCGTTTGGTTTGTGTATCTTCGGTAACCCATACAACCTCGGTGGTTTGGCACATGATGGTTCGCTAATACCACATACCAGACACACACAAAGGATTCATACCATTTTGTGAGTGAGATAAATGACCTACATCTCACTAACAATGAAACTATGGTCAGTTTTGATGTTCAGTCACTATTTACATGCCTACCTATTGTGGACTGCGTCTCAATTGTAACTAGGAAGCTAGAAGAAAATAACATGCCTCAAGAATATGCAATACTACTTGAACATTGCCTCACATCTGGCTATCTATTGTGGAAGGAGGAGTTCTACAAGCAAGTAGATGGTGTGGCGATGGGCTCACCTGTGTCTCCCATAGTCGCCGACATATTCATGGAGGACTTTGAGGAGAAAGCCCTTCTTACTGCTCCTGTAAATCCAAGGTTCTACAAGCGGTACGTAGACGACACTTTCACAATTTTACCATCTGACAAAGTAACTGCATTTTTAGACCACCTTAACTCCATAAACTCTAAAATACAATTCACAATTGAGTTAGAGGCAAATAATTCGTTAGCTTTCCTAGATGTTTTAGTCATCCGAAATCCTGATAACACTATTGGTCACACTGTGTATAGGAAAAAGACCCATACCAACCGATATTTAAATGGTGAATCTCACCATCATCCTTCACAGTTAGCTACCGTGGGTAAATCTTTGTTTCAGAGAGCACGAGGGATCTGTGACAGAAAAACATCTGGCCGCGGAGCTTCAGCACGTCAAGCAAGTATTGCAAGACAACAAGCTTCGGGTCCCGCGCCTACGTCACAGTGAACGAGTGAAGCCGGCCACAGTCGAGCGCGCGCCTGCCCTACTACCATATGTTAGAGGAGTCACGGACAAGATTGGCTACATCTTGAAGCGAGCGTCCATTAAGACATACTACAAGCCGCTGAAGAAGATTAGTCAATTTTTACCATCCATCAAATGTAATATTCCTCTACAAGATGCAGGTGTGTATAAGCTAGATTGTGAATGTGGTCTCTCTTACATAGGTCAAACAAAGAGATCTATAAAAACCCGCGTGAAGGAACATATAGCTGATGTGAAGCACCGACGCTCCGGGAAGTCTGCAGTCTGCGAACATGTTCAAGATCGTCCCCACCATTACATTAGATTTGATAAACCACAAATTCTCGCAAAAGAACACCGATTCCTACCAAGGATGATACGCGAAGCTATTGAAATTAAAAAACATCCAAATTTCAATAGAGAAGATGGTTGGGTGCTACCATCTGCTTGGGATCCTATAATTAACAAAATTAAACCCAAACCCAAGCATACCACTGCAAGACTTCATGATACTATAAGCTCGTTTTGCGTAAATCGGACCAAAAATTAATATTAAAAAACTGAAGGTAGCCGGACTAACTATGACATTGGGACGTCAAACATCTCAGTCCCCCCCCCGTGACCATGGGCGCTGTAAAGCACCCGAAACGTCGGGATAATAATAAAAATAAATTAAAGTAATTAAATGCGATAAAATCCGTAAATAATAGTTTTATTCAATGTGTAGTGTTCGCGTAAATTTAAGAAATCAGAAAATTCACAACATCAACAGACCTAATGGTGCATGAGACGTGTCACAACAAGAGTGTTTGCTACACCTGTTCAGCTAAGTTTGATACATTCAAACAGTTCAAAAGGCATAGTCGACGGTGTAAAGCCTTAGTCAACAAGGAAGTGCTCAATCCAAGCTCAATGTGGCTTATATTCCAAGATCTACTAAGAGTTAATAGTACTGAAAAAATACCAACTAAGCAGATGTTAAAATGTTCAAAATGCAATGAAGAATTTAGTGATGAATATTATATGACAATCCATGAATAAATGAATTTGTAAATAGTGAAAGAGTGAATAATAAGGGAGGAGGAATAAGTAACATCAAAATTAGCGACGAATAACCTAAAGAATATATTTGGTAGTGGTAATTTGCTGTGATTTTAGTATGGTCTATTTATATAGAAAACAGAAGGGGGTCATTTGTCAACATTATGTAAGCTCAGATTGCAAAATTGTGTTACTTTAAACTTAAATAACTTTGACTATAGTCAACCAAATCTAAGAAATACTTTTTGACGTTTTAACATTAATCATTCCGCTACAACTTTGCACAAGCGTACTCACTCAATTTAAAATAACCTTTTAAGTAAATCCGAAGAATTATGAAGTTATCTAAATTTCATTACAACGTGTATAGTTTTTATCATTATTATAATTATAATTTATAATTTAGATTCAAATCTTTCAAATAAAACAAAATATTTAAAAATAACCAGTATCAACTTTTTTACTTGACGTCGTTTCAATGATATGTCGCTCAGAACCTTACCGTAGTGTTTAGATGATTAAAATTCATTGTTATGCGAATAATCGGCAAAAATATTCAAATAATCGGTAAAACTATTCAAATCATCGAATTATTTTTTTTTATGTATTATCTGTTTAATTAAATTCTTATTTATAAAATTCCTTAAATAACATGAATCATGAATAAAACAAGTTTATTTTTTATTTTGTCAACGTAAATTTTGTGTAGAAAAAAATCTCATATACAAAGCCGCGCTGAAAAAACCACCATGTAATTTCTATTTCCCGCCATTTCGGGAACTTACTGTGTGTTATTTTATGATTTTGTGTTTGTCTTCTTATTTTGTGAATCGGCTTTAACTTTTTGGACTGTTTATTCAATATTCGTTGAAGCATGTGCCCATATCACAAAGGCTGATTGAGTAAGAGATAGAAAAAACAAAAAAAATTGATTATAGATGACTTTGAAAGAGACATGAATTTTAATTGCATTATTGAGAATCAAATAATAACTAATTTATACAACGACAGCTCAAGTAATTGTACTGAAAGTGATTGAATAAATTTATTTTTAATGTAGTTTAAATTTTTATAACTTTGTCTGTAGAAATAAGCAGTAACAATAAATACGAAGAAACTGATAAACCTTGTGTTTTAAATTATCTGTTTCTAATTTATTCTGGTATTCAAACCAAACTGTAAATGATTACCAACTCCAAATAATCGATATCGATTTTTTTATGAATCGAATATTGTATGTTCTCATTTTTTGGTTGGCATGCTTGGTGCAATAAGTCTGACAGCTGTCAAAATGTATTTCTTAGATTTGGTTGACTATAGGTCTTGTAACCGTGTAATGACGGTGTAAGTATATCCATTACCTCATATCGTCTCCAGGGTGTCGCAAGAGGAGACAGAGGGAAAATTAAACAGGACATGGGCAGCAGCATCTTTCTGATAACTACACAAAATAATAAAAAAACTTGACAACCCGCTTGTCAACTATGGCAACACCCTACCATTATTAAATTTATGAGTGAGGCCTATGTTCAGCTTTATAGGCTGTATTGGTTGGATTATGACGTTCGGGAAATTACGACACATCTTCCCGTCAGGTATACCTCAAACTCTGAAAACTAGATTGTACAACCAGTGCGTGTTGCCAGTGTTGACTTACGGATCTGAGACGTGGTCTTCACTGCAGGCCGTATGAGGACGCTCAAGGTCGCTCAGCGAGCTATGGAGAGGGCTAAGCTCGGAGTTTCTCTGCGTGATAGACTCAGAAATGAGGATATCCTAAAATGCAGTAAAACCAGAGTGACCGACATAGCCCAACGAATTAGTAAGCTGAAGTGGCAATGGGTCGGCTATATAGCTCGAAGAACCAAAAAGAAGAAGAAGCAGCCTCGTACCGGTAGGCGTAGTGTAGGGCGACCCCCCACTAGATGGGCGTGACGACCTGGTAAGACATGCAGGAAGTCGATGAATGCAGGTGGCTCAGGACTGTGCTTTGTGGCATTACTTGGGGGAGGCCTATGTTTAGCAGTGGACTTGTGAAGGGCTGTAATGATGATGATGATGATGATGATGATGATGATGATTGGTTGGATGAAAACAACAACCAATTATGCCTATATTAGTGAAATAGGTGTAGTGTAGCATATTAGTGATGTCATATTAACTCTAGACAATATATCGTAATATTCTTAATTTTATAATAGTTAAATCCAAACCATTCTCTTACAAGTTGCTTACAGTATAGTTGCTACTTTTCACTTTGAAATTAAGAAAAGTATGAGATGACACGGAATTTTCGAATTAACTAAAATTGATGTCGCCATACTCCCACAGGCCACCCTACTTGCACGCACCGTGCCATGCCACTGATAAAACCCAAATTCCAAAGCATTAAAAACAGGCAATTAGCTGTACATCAGTAAAATTAGCTTCTGATACATATTCAAGTTTTGTTAGAATGTTAATTTAAAAAAAATATATGAGCTTACCCTGATGTCAAATAATCAGGTATATCTTGCCTCTCATGTCTGTGATAATAACAAATAAAAAACAAACACAATTTAATGTAAAAATTAAAAAAATTATATATAACAATAAAAAATGAAAAATATTTTCTGATCCATAAAAATTACTCACTTAAGTAAAAATTCCGATAGAAATAGATATCCTTGACAAGATCGAAAATCATCAAGAAGTAATTGACTAACTTCACTCGAGTCCTTCAGAAAGCAGAATACTGCTACAAACATCTCCACAACCTGAATAAAAAATATAATAATAAAAATATAGTATATTTTATAGACAGTTTTAATAATAAAAACTGAATGATATATAATACATAATATGTCGGAGTACGTGATAAAAAGAGGAATAGAAGTGAATAGAATATTTTTGTTAGAACAGTATATTTGGTTCGTTGGAGCAATATAATGTTTGACTGCCTCATTGGTCTAGTGGTCATAAATGAGTCTGTTTTGTGCGCGCTGATCAAGAGGTCGCGGGTTCGAATCCCGGGTCAGGCCAACAAAAAGAATCTATCAAGAAAGTTTCTATCAAGAAATTCTCCCATTGGTCAGTTATAATTTGATCGTTGTCATGTGCAAACAATTCTGTGGCCATAATCATTTACATACCTCCAATGGAGTCAGCTCTGGTATTCTTTGCATATTTTCTATGCAAAGTGCTACACAGCCTTTGTCTGTAAAACAAATCAATAATTGGTATACAAATATCAATTAAGTGTGATAAAGAAAATTAATAAGTAAAAGAGGTTATGAAACTTACTATGTATATACTGAACTACAGATTGTGTCAGTCCATGTCTAGATAATGTCATCAGCACTTCAGCAGCAGATTTCCTCCACATAATGTTGTATGGTGCACACCAAGAAGTAATGGCAGAGAATAAGAGACTTAAGTCATCCTTCCTTGCAAGTTCTTCGCATGGAAATGGATGGCTGCATAGCCTTACAAGTACCTGATAGTAAATCATATAGGAATTAATTTTGATTGTTGTGAGAGATCTAGGATTAATGTGAACATTTACTCTAGTCACCTCAGGGTTCTTATGTTTTTACTTTTGTAATTTATAAATATGGAATATGAGCAACATGGCTGTGTTAAAATAATATAAATCCCAATTTGAAAATTTATTAAATGTTCACACATTCGCAAAAAAATTAAAAAAGAAAAAATTTATAAAAATATACCTGTACAAATATTTTCTGTAAAAGGATTCTTCTTTCTCTAGGTGTGAAATCACTATTTTCATCCTGAACATCAGCTTCGGCTTCAGGAATTTCAGGAAGATCAAAAAACAAATATAGACATTTTACTAAGGTTGATGGTATAGCTGCTGTTGTCATCACCTAAAACATGAATATTTTATTTTTAACTATACATGAATCAATAAAGCGAAAATTTTTACAGTTTTAAAACTAAATTATTATAGAGTTTATGCATGTATGTACGTAAAAAGGAATATTGAGTTATTTAAAAAATATTTTGTTATGAGATTTGCCATTGAATGTATTATAATGTTGAAACGCTGGGAAGGCCAGTGTATTGTATATATCGACACCGATACGCGGGTCGCCCGCGTTGCTCTGTGGTAAACGGAATGTTTTTTAAACCTGTCAGTAAGATGGGTGGTATGTGTATGAAAAAATGACGATATTATGTACATTATTGCTCTTATACTGAAACGCTAATTATTTATTCTACTCCACTTAAACCTCCACAGCTAGAAAAATCCGACCAGCCACTATCGATTGTCATATTCTTATTATAAGGCTATTTGCCTCGTTGCTTGAGTAGTCGCTCTGGTATTTGGTTCGAAACCCGCTTTAGCCTAAAATCGTTAGTACGTAATACGTAAAGCCGGTGGTTCTGCGCCTGATCTCTCTCAGATCTTATTGGGTTGAACGTGAGGAAACACTATAGTCAAAACCTGCTCAGATGGCTAGTCTATGTTGAGGCCGCCGTGATCGGAATTTGGTCTAGAGGACATTATTGTTATTATCTATATCTAGGCTATCATTGAAATTAGAATTATTTTATTCTAACCTCAAAGTAAGCTAATGACAATAACACATATTAGTTGATTGACCAACTCAATCAAGTGCAAAGACCATGCTTTACTTTATATAGTTAGCAAAACCAGAAAAATAAGTCTCATATAATGTCACACTCATAATCTTGGCGCATTTATTTTATTTATTATTTATTTACAAAAGAACAGTGGCGAAGCTAGGGCTCCAAACTAGGGCAAGCCCAATATATGGTTTTGTTGTTTTTAGCAGTTTTAAAAAAATACACCAATCTTTATCAGTCTCCACTCTTGAGTTAAATATTCAGTGCTGTCAAGGACGCGTTTAACAAAGCACACTGAAGACATACTACTGCTAGATAGATTGTATGACATATCAACAATTGCATACCTAAAAAGATATTTACATACAAAACAATAAATGAACAAAAGAAAAGCATAAACAAAGTACAAACTATGTACAAAATTAAAAAAGGGACGCCTGGCAGATGTGAAACATCGAAATTATTTTGTTTAAGTTATATGCATAGAAGAACAAATTACGACAGGAATTAGATATGGTATAATGAAAAGATAAAGCATTACAAATTTTATTCCATAAATTAATTACTGTTTATTATATAATTATTCACTTTCAATTTTAATAAACCGTACAAATTGATATTTTTAACTCATATGGTAATATAAATATTAAATTATAAAATTAGCCGATAGCAGTGTTTGTGCCATCTAGCATAACAAACCACCGTGAGAGTCAATCAATTTTCGTTCGATAAAACGACTTCACCTATAGAATTAAGTAGATGGCGCTATTAAAATATTATATACTGAAGGACTAAAGGAAACATTCTTTAAAAACATCAACACATGTATTCTTTTGATTTATTACATTAATATTTAGGCTTCACATTAAAAAAAGATTGTATGACGTTATATAATAAGGGTACGAGATCATGACCTGTGTAGAACAAAGGAGCGCGCGAGAAATTTTAAATTGTTTGAAACAGGTTTTTTGTTTATATTGAGCAGTTTGATAAGGCAAGCCCGGCTTCTCGGCTTCTATGGAGGCTTCTTCACTACAAAAGAAACGATTACAAAGACAAATATATATGCTTAACGCCCCTTGATCTTTACATGGGTAGTAACATAACCTTGATAAAGGGTCTGCAATATTTGATTTACCAGGTTTATATATTACCTAGTAACCATATGATTGTAGTCGTGGTATCCATCGCTCTACTCGTGCACAAGGTTTTGATTTGGGTCCAAACAGAACTTCTAAAGGCTTATGGTACGTAATTAAGGGGATATAGTAAGTCAGCCCAAATTCTAATTTCGCCCCCACTTCCCCGCGCGTCGTATGCTATGTACTGATATGTTTGTAATCACTAATACTGTAAGTAGATAGGTCGTTAGATACTTATTTCATTATGTTTATCATATTTATGCCTGTTTCTTAACGCCAACCCAGTCGCTTCTCATTTTTATCACGGTTATTTCCCGTTTTAATTTTAAGTCGTCCTGTTACGTAATGTGTATTCTGATCGTAAGCGACACAACTTCTCCCTTCAAAAGCCTAAGCGATACTAACGGGGCGACAGGAATCAGGCTTCAAGACGCCGATAGTTTAGGCAATTTCTTTTTACAGTGAAAATAATGGTATTTTAAAAAAAGTTAATAACATAAGCACTGCTTTATAGTTAGTTCATGATCTTATTTAAAGTATTTTATGAATAACAGCGGTTTATTGTTCAGTTTGGAGGAAAATTGGATTTTTTTTTTTTTTGGAGAAAATTTCACGGAATTGTGTTTTCGTCTAACATAGTCATTAACATTAATCCTTAACTTTACCATATATTTATTTCATAATTAAAACTGCAATACTTTCGGCATAACGGAGGATCTTGCTAAGCCATTTGAGGTTATATTTTCTCTTAAGTCGATTATTTTTCCAAACAAAAAAATATTAAAGTGTTCCACTGCCCATACTAGTGCCAAAGCTTCTTTTTCGGTCTGGCTGTACTTTCGTTCACAGTTTGTCAAAGTGCGATTTCCGTAAGCAATTATTCGAGGTTTTGTATGATCACTCTGTATGAGCACAGCTCCAAGTCCGACTGGAGTGGCGTCTGCTATCACGTGTGTTTTATCATGGACGTCGTAATACCCCAAGGATTGTATTTCCGTTAAAGCTTGCTTTGACTGTGTAAAAGCATTGTCCTGTTCCTTCTGATATCACATAAAAGTAGTATAATCTTTCTCGTTATTAGCTTCAATTGTTGTTTCAAATGAACCTTGTATATTCAATAGGGCAATGCTACCATATGCAAATAATCTTTCTTAGGTTTTTTTTAATTTGGTTATAAGTTCCATTTTTCCCATCTCACACCGATTGAAGGGTTATCGCCCTCAAAACTTAAAACATCCAATGCTGGTAACGAATGCGACATGACTTTTAACAGTTAGTTTAGAGTTACCTGAAAATAAATGTAAATAATCATGTAAGCAATTAAATGGTTACTATTTTTCTGAGACCAATTTAATGGTGGCATATGATGCCCTGGGACCAATTTAATGGTGGTATTCGATAACCAACGACCAATTAAATGGTGGTATATTATACCCAATGCTCAATTTAATGACGGTATTTGATACCCGATGCTCAATTTAATGATGGTATATTATACCCGGTCCTCAATTTAAGGAAGGTATTTGATATCCGATACTCAATTTAATGACGTTATTTTATACCCGATGCTCAATTTAATGACGGTATATTATACCAGGTGCTCAATTTAATGACGGTATATTATACCCGGTGCTCAATTTAATGAAGGTATTTGATACCCGATACTGAATTTAATGACAGAAATATGTTGCAAATATCGCCTTTCTATTTTGATTTATTTGTTATGCCGACTACTTCCATTGCTGCGCCATTTAGGCTTTGGGTAAATTTAATAGCTAAAATGCGCATTTACAGTATTACTAGTTACCTACTATTCAATTTACAGAAGCCGTGAAGTGTCCACGATTTTCTGTCAGACTTATACAGGTTGTTAGTGTAAACACCGTTGTCCTTGAAACCAGTGCTTTGGTTTCACTTATAGTGAGATACTCTAGATATGAAAGTGGTAAATACTTATTTCATTAAAGGCGATAAAATAACACACCTACATGTAAAATGCCCCACTACTTTTGTTTAAATCGAGAGGAAAGATTAGTTAAGTCGACTATATTTCCATCAAAATCTTTTTAAATAAAAATTGTGTTAAAAATAAATCAATATTTTATCATTGCTACATAAAGAAAATGAATTTTGCGCACCATATGCGTGGTCATATGCTAACATATAGTTTTATACAAAATATTACAATTATCAGAAAAGGTTTTAAACCAGGTCAGGGTTTAAGACCATAAGTTAATATTCATAATCCGCAGTTTTTTTCCGCGGGTACTTTAGAGATTTAGTTTAAATTTTGAAATTGCAATGCTAATAGCTGCACATTGCAAACCTATTTTTGTTTATATTTTTATACTGAAAAGGTACTTATCTTTTTTCCTCGTCGCCACTTGTAACAGCCAGGAATTCACTGGTTCACACACGCACACGTAAACGTAAACGCACGGTTCACTACACGTCCACTCTCGCCCGCGGCTCTCGTGATTCTGACGCGGTGCGCTCGACACAGTGGGCATTTATACTTGTATCTTAACAAGCAATATTTATGATACTACCTTCATTCAGTTTTACGAACCTTATTTTATTACATACTTATTAGCATTTTATAATCACATACACTACAGTTCTAAAACAAATGTAGGTACAGGATATGGACCCACAACATATTCTTCCAAGCCATAGCAATAGATGCCAGGAAGGTAAAAGAGAATTATCTATGAAAGATTCTCTATCAGAATACTCACTGACAGCATGGCGGTACTACAAGTTCTGAGTTGCAATGTGGGATCAGGAAAGGACCGGCCCATACCAATTTCTGTTGGTAACATTCGTTTACTGCTACATATACATAGTCCTCCCCATTGATTTCGATGACGGCGACTATAGGAACTATGGATACTGGTACATAATCACCTCACTAATCAATACACTTAGCTTTGGAAAAATCTAGAAGACTATTGGGAAGCTGGGGAGGCCTTGTCGGCAATAAAAAGTTGTTTGACCAAGGTATTTAAAAGATTGAACACGATTGGTACACCAAAATCACTTCCCGAAATTGCTAGCATCATCAAGGGACCGCTCAGCTTATTCAAGATTTCATAGCACACAGGCAAAATACGCACTATTAGACATGTAGTTGCGAAAAATAGCTCGTTGTAAACTAAACTAATCTCTGTCAGTAGTGAGCCATTTTAAATTATTCTTTTTTAGGGTTCCGTAGTCAACTAGGAACCCTTATAGTTTCGCCATGTCTGTCTGTCCGTCTGTCCGTCCTCGCTTAATCTCTGTGACCGTTAGCACTAGAAAGCTGAAATTTGGTACCAATATGTGTATCAATCACTCCGACAAAGTGGTAAAATAAAAATTGGAAAAAAATGTTTTATTAGGGTAGCCCCCCTATTTGTAAAGTGGGAAGTGATTTTTTTTTAATTTCAACCCTAACGTGTGATATATTGTTGGAAAGGTATTTAAAAATGAATAGGGGTTTACTAAAATAATTTTTTGATAATGTCAATAATTTCGAAAATAATCGCTCCAAAAGTAAAAAACAATGTGTCCCCCCCCCCCTTTAACTTTTGAACCATAAGTTTAGAAAATATGAAAAAAAATCTGAAAAGTAGAACTTTATAAGGACTTTCTAAATCATTTTGAACTTATGGAAACAACAGTACCCACTACCGAGCAGTTGCAGAGCGGACGCTGCTGGAGCGCGAACATAATTGATACCCACCTTTAAACTCATAAGTGGGCACACTTAATGTGACGGACGGGAAACTACGGAACCCTACACTGACCGTGGCCCGACACGCTCTTGGCCGGTTTTATTTTAATTTTAAATAGGTAAAAAACTTAAAATGGGTGCGTGGATTGAAAATAGGGATAAAAATTTTATATACAACTTGATATTACTGTACCAAAAAGTCTGAACTAAGTAAAAGCAAATTTAAAAAAGTGTAAAATGATTTCTATAAATATGTATTGACAAATTAGATTAAAAAGAGGTGTTTTTGATTTTTATTTAAAACAAACATTGAAATAAATTCAATGACAAATCTTATAACAAAATATTTAGAAGTAAGCAAAAACTACAGACTTCCATTTGCAACAATCCAGACACACCTTGTTCGTTTCTTTCACCTCTATATTATATCTACACATACATGCGGTTAAGGGTACTCTTAATTTGTGCATCTTAAATGAATTGCCAATTCAGTCAAGAGTCCCTTGCCCATTATGCCACTCACTTCTCCAGCATAAATTTGTTTTGCCACTCTTTCCTCATTCATTCATTCTGTGTCCAAACCATTGAAGCGTAACTTTTTTAATTCTGGTCACAATATCTTACAAACCAATCTTTCTTTTTATCACAGAATTCCTCACAACCTAGAAGTGACCTAGGTGTATGGTGAGTGAGTTAACAAATCAGTCAGAAAGTTATAAAAATGACACTTTTCAGACCTGAATAACTCAAGAACTATTAAATGTTTTTAAATTTATTCGTGAAATTTAAGACTCTAGATATAGGTGTGCAAAATTGCAAGTGCATGGGAGTAATTATTTTTGAGTTATGGGTGTTGTAAAGAGGCCTGAAACACCGCATTTCATTTGTTTCTTTTCCATACTTGGCCAACACTGTCATGTCAAACAAACAATATAATATTAAATCAACTTAAGAATTTTATAATGAATAAACATAAGAATTTTCAAAATTGTGCTAATATTATTTATCCAACCTTGCCTTTTTCTTAAATAATTATACTTATTTCATAATATTTCATTATAAACTAAAACTAATTACTTTATAATGTATTTTTTCATACTGATTTAAATAATTATTGACTTGCTTTCATACCTGTATTAAGGATTGATCTCCTGCAGCTAAAAGATTCAATGTTGATAGTAGCATCCATCCATTACTAGATTCCTCTGAATTCTCTATTTCTAAAAACTTTGCGATAGCGCAACTTGCTGCGACAGTGCTTTGATTGCTAGCTCTTTTCCTTATTTCTGAGACCATAAGTTTCGAAACTTGTTGACAAAATGATAGAATATCCCAGAATTTTTCATTCATTTCACTTGAAGGACTGGTTCCAAACACCTGTGTTAAAAAAAGCTGTATTTATATTATCAAACTGCTTGACACCTATTCCTTTACAAGAAGGATTGCCACCACAGTTGTCATTCTTGACTGGCAATAACAGAACCTGATATCTTGCACTTATTATATCTATCAGAAGAGATGATATTAGCCTTTTTTCCATGGTCACCTCATATAACACCCATAAAATAGTGATGGATTTTATATAAAACTAATACATAAGTAATACATACTCAGCTTAAGTAGTGTAAAAAAAAATATGTAAATGTGCTAGAAAAAATATAATTAATTACACAACTAGAAAAGACCTTTGATAAGGAAAAAATATATTTTATATATAACGATAGAGTTTAACCTCGATATAACGAAACTGAAGGGAATAAAAAAATATTTGTAATACCAAGTAATTTGTTATAATGAAGTTTTGGTAATTTTATACTTTCGCGATCCCAATGTTTTTTGGCTCGAGAAAATCGAAAAATCATCCGATTTTGATGAATTGTTTTTATGACGGATTTACGAAAATGAAAAAAAAATCATAGAAGTCAGATGATTTTTCAATTTTCTAGAGCCAAAAAAGGAGGGTACCGCGATAGTATAAAATTACCGAAGTTTTTATATAAAGGTTAAGTGGGATGACAATTTGTTTTGGGTTGGCTATAGGCATACGGTACTTGATTTTAATTATTTTTTCAGTTTAGGGAGCTTGTCAGGGTTAATCTTGAACCTTTAACAATGTTTTTGGATGTTGTAAATACATTTTGAATTAATTAAGATAAAACTAAATTTCACTAAAAGTTGAGTATAACAAAATGTAAATTTGTCAATTTGGTCTAGTATTATGAAGTAGACATCCGGTACTTGATTTTAATTATATTTACAGTTTGGGAGGCTTGTCAGAGTTAAGCATGAACCTTTTACACTGTTTTTGGATGTTGAAAATCTGTTTTCGTTTGGGTTTGTCAGGGTTAAGCTTGAACCTTTTATATTGTTTTTGATTTTCAGAAAGGGTTTTTTTTTTAATGAATTACTATAAAAATAAATTTCACTAACTAAAAATTGCATATGACTAAACAGGTCACCCATAAAAAAGTTAATTACTTGGACCCAATCCATTTTTGGGTGAAGATGGGATTCATACACAACATATTGAGTTGCAGTGGTGAGCAATCAAGAGGTTTTTCAGAAAACAAAATTATAACGTTACATTATTTAATTTACCACTATCATAGCAGAATTTAGGGCAACCTGTTTTTATAGATTAAGAAGGTTGAATCTGTACTACAACTGAATCAGAATGCCCCGACTTCACGTAGTCTAGTCTGCTTTACCCCTCAAGTGTTTTGATAAAGTCGCAGGCACAGAAGGAGTGCAGCTCCCACCCATTGTAGCATATTGCAGACCTGTGTTTTGCTATGCATGCATGCTATGGGGCTGTACTTGCCACAGTGTCGAAACCGTTTCAGAAGTAACTATTCACTAGTTGTTAACTATTCAATATACCTGTGTTTTAATCAAGTGAGATTATGATTTTACCAAAATAATGATTACTCATAAACTGTACATTTGGGGTAGGGAGGGGGGCTTCCCTTGAACCCTCGACCTCCCTCCACCCTCTTATTTGAATACCATATGTCTCTGTTAAAGCTAACAATTTCCACTAATAAGTGAAAATACACTTGAAAAAAGTAAGTAGAAAATACAGTATTTTTTATTTCTGTTATAATAGAAATCAATAAACAATATACAACTGTCTAAGAATTTAATGTATCTCAACCTGTCAAGACATAATTTGTTGTGGAATTAAGTGGGAATAATTGAAGACGTAGAGATTGTTAGATCTATGGTCGTCGGAGGAAGTGAGAGATACAAGTGTCGTGCCTTTTTTGCTTAAAATTTATTGTTTTATTAAGTGTTGTTGATTTACTATAGCAAATTTTTCTGTCTTGGTGGAGGTCTTAACATCTGTAAATTAGTAAGTGTTTGTAGTTGTGCTGTTTTTATGTATTTTTTTGTTGTAGTAATATAATGGAGGACGAACCTCCCGATCCCGGAAAGATTCGCAATGATTCCTTTTCCTTACCCATTAACATTGATAATGTAGAACTAATTAACCGTAAACGTGCCCAAGTAAGTAACGAGTCCGCCCATCCACAAAAAAAAGTTATTACTGATCCAAATCAACAGTTTCCTTCAATACAATCTTCATATACCCATCCTGATTTTATTAATAAAAAAGTTAAGTACTCTCAAGATGACGCCGCTCCTTTTCTAGTTCACGTAAGTAAAATCTCAAATGATCAGCTGTCTGGAGTAACTCTTAAACCACAGTCACTTTCTGTATCATAACAATATTAAAAATATAGTCCATGATGGAGTCAAAAAAGTTGGACGAAATAGAATATCAGTGGAGTTTAAAATAGCTGCAGATGCAAAAACCTTTATCGATCACCGAGCTCTCCAAATTTCTAAATATGAAGCAACCATCCCCTCATATAGTATCACTCGTATGGGGCTAGTTAGACAAGTTCCCACAGAGTGGACACTAGAAGAATTAATAGCAGCTATAGAAATTCCCTCTGGCTACGGTTCTATAATTAAAGCACGGCGACTTAATAGACGATCAGTGAGTGACAGCAATAGCGTTTCATGGGTTCCAACTCAGACAGTTGTTCTAACTTTTTCTGGACAAAAACTTCCTCCCCATATTTACTGTTTTTACACCTCAATGCCAGTGGAAAAATATGTTTTGCCACTAATTCAGTGTCATAAATGTTGTAGATTTGGCCATGTTACTTCCCAGTGCCGATCATCCCCTCGCTGCTTTGTATGTGCACAAAATCATGAAGGATTATCTTGTACTCCACAAACTCCTACTTGTCTATTCATCTCTGGTCCCCACACCGCAAAAGACCCTAGACGTGTCCTGAACATCTAAGGCAAAAATTGTAGTGTTATGCTTACATACATACTTACATATCATTTTACACTATTTTATTTTTATTTTTTCCATTCTGTTTTTGATTTTCTACATTCACCTCAAAACTGGATAGTTTGCATCACCTTTATTTCCATAGGATCCTGTAATATTTTTAATTCATAAGAACACAATAACAAATCATTTTCACTTCGTATTTTCACGTTATCAGCACTTTTTAAATCGGTGTCAATGGAGTCTACCTTTTTCGATCTTTTATTTAGTTCTCCGTAACTCTACAATTTCGGGTTTCGTGCGCGCTCTTGCGCTACCTTTTTTCCTATATAAATAATATCTCATTTTTCACTTAAATCTTGCCGTTTCTGTATTACGAGCTTAAAACCAAAATTTGACATGTTTTGACATCGTTGTTTATCTGGTTGTCGTGGCAATTTTTATTCAAATATTGTTACCGGCCTGATGTTTTTACTTCAAAAAATACTCTTTTCTTCTTGGCCATTTACAAAAATTTGCTTTTAATTTAAATAATTTCAAATAATTTCTCGTTCTTATCCCAGATCCGTCAAAAAGTATAAAAGCCGAAGAATCGGCCGATAGAGGTCCGCACTTCAGCTTTGATACGAGAAGCACCTCTTAAAAGCTTTATCCGCACTGCCTCGGGATCTTGCAAGCCTTCTCCTGAAGTCGTCGCCTAGCCACGCCTACGCCTCCACCTATTAGTGCCCGCGCTATCTTCGGCCGCTGAGCGTGCTTGTCTCAAGCGCTGCGTGTTCCTACTCCAGACGCTGCGTGTCTACTCCGGACGCTGTGTGTGTCTACTCCGGACGTTGTGTGTGCCTACTTCAAGCGCCACGTGTACCTACTCCAGACGCTGCGTGTCTACTCCGGGTGCTGCGTGTATCTGCTCCGGGCGTTGCGTGTGCCTACTCCAAGCGCTGCGTGTACCTTCTCCAGACGCTGCATGTGCTTTCTCCAGATTCTGCGTGTACCTAGAGCAGGCGCTGTGCACCTATCATAGGCATAGCCTGTGCATTCTTCGTTGCAGTATCTTTATTTTTGTTATTTTTTTTTAATAATATTGTAAATCACTATCATCATTACAGCCCATCATCACCTTCATACCTTTTTTTATAAAAGAAACTGTAAATCTTTTCAAATTTTTAAATAATTTATTTTATTTTTGGTTGTTTTGTTGTAGTTAGGTTAGGTTATTTAGTTTTTAATTGTCGCTTTACGACAAAATCTATTAAACTTGTTATGTCACAAAAAAATATTTCATATTTAGAAGCTTCAGCTAGATTCCCTCAGACAAAAAGATCCTTTGCTGATACAACAAGAATCCAGCCTCGTAATTGTTCTCAACAGACCCCCTATACTATAACTGACAGTCTTTCAACCCCTTCGGCTCAGCTCTCACAAACTGCATCATATAAAAAAACAATTTTTATCCCTCAACGTAACTGCAGTCAATCATTAAATTCTGGATATGATATGGCAGCCCATCAGGCAATTGTTGAGAATCCTAATTCCTCCCTTCCTAATGGGTGTGCTCTACTGGGAAATGACATCAACTCCTCTAGTAATGATAATTTCTGCGAACTTATGATATCAATGCTAATTAACATGATCTCCCGTTTTAGTGACACGGAACTTCCTCTCAGCTTACACCAAAAACTTACTCAGCTTTCCTCCTTAGCCCGTAACATTCGCAGTGCCACCAATTCTTCAATGGAATTGTCGGAGCATTAGAAATAAAAAATGAACTCATTTACCTCATTAATAAACTTCATCCCTTCATTCTTGCCACCCAGGACACATGGCTTAGGCCTGAGTCTCATTTTAGGGTTTCAGGCTACGCATGCCTCCGGGATGATAGGAGTGATGGTCGTGCTGGCACCTCTATTTTATTTCAAGAACAGTTACATTTTCACAAATTCCTCTCCCTTCTCATAGTCCAGCAGTAAATGCTGTTGCTATTAAGGCCCTTGATGTCTCTATTCTCTCTGTTTACATTCCTAATCCTGATGTAAATGTTTTAACAGAACTTGCAACACTTATTTCTTCTCGGTCACCTCCTATGGTTATTTTGGGAGATTTTAATATGCATCATACTGTTTGGGGCTCTCATCTGTGTGATTCACTGGCTCCCTTATTTTTAGATATTATTAAAAATTTTAATCTCTGTATTCTAAATGACGGGTCTCCTACCCGTCGAGTATCCCCATTACAAAATGTTAGAAGTGCCGTTGACCTAACTCTCTGTTCCCCAGATATTGCTTCCCTTCTTTTGTGGCAAATATTACCTTCTAGCTATGGCAGTGACCATTTTCCTATATTCATCACTCCTCCTACTTCACCTAGAATAAATTTTACATTTGCCCAAGACTAAAGTATAATCTATCCAAAGCTAATTGGCAATTATATTCTACAGTTTTGGAAGAAAAGGTTTCAACTCTTCCCCCAATTAACAATGATAATATTGCTCCTGTATATATAGAGTTCAGAAATGCAATTATTTCTGCTGCTAATAAGTCAATCCCCTTAAAAAAAACCTTTCAAAAATAATTATCCTTCCCCTCCTTGGTGGGACCAAGATTGTTCAGCAGCTTGTAGGAGAAGAAAAGAGGCTGAATTAATATACTCCCGTTCTATGACTGCAGAGAATTATATCTCCTATAAAAAAATTGCTGCAGAAACCTTAAAATTACTGTCCGACAAAAAGCGAACTGGTTGGTTTAAATTCTGTGAATCACTGTCACCTAGGACTCCCCCATCTTTGGTCTGGAGAAATGTTAAAAAATATCGCTGTGCAGTTTCTAGTGAAAATATAATTTCTAATGATCCTTCCCCGTGGATGGATGAATTCTCTAATAAACTTGCACCACAAACAGTCCCATCTTATGATGAATGCCTAGTTTTTAATTCTGCTTTTTTTTAAAAACAAATGATAAATTTGATTCCCCCTTTTCTTCTCAGGAATTGTTTACTGTACTCAATGGCCTTAAAGACTCCTCAGGACAGACAGACCAGGTATTGATGGGATTCCTTATTCGTTTATAATTAATAGTAGTGAGAACACTAACAAAAACTGTCTTACTATCCATTTTAAATTTTATTTATATTACTGGTGATCCTCCTGCTGAATGGAAAACCCAAATTATTTTGCCCATTCTCAAACCAGGTAAGTCTAGTAATGACCCTTCCAGTTACCGACCTATTGCCCTTTTTTGTACTTTGGCAAAAATCTTGGAACATTTAATAAAAAATCACTTGGAGTGGTTTTTGGAAAGGAATAATCTCTTACCTAAAAGCCAATTCGGTTTCCGAAAAGGTTTAAGTACCATGGATAGCCTTAGTACTTTGGTCACAGATATTCATATTGCTTTTTCAAAACATGAATTTCTCATAGGAGTTTTCTTGGATATTACTTCTGCATATGATAATGTGCTTCTTCCTGTGCTCAGGCCGAAAATGCTTAATCTGAGCATTCCAGTGAGGATAGTCAATTACGTCTCTAACTTTCTCTCTTCTAGATCAATATCTATAAATGTTAAAAATCTCCTGCTTCCCCCAAAAACTATATGGAAAGGACTTCCACAAGGCTCAGTTCTTAGTCCTCTCCTTTATTCTATATATACTCACAATTTAGAACTTTCAGTAAATTCTTTTTGTAATGTTCTTCAATATGCAGATGATTTAGCTCTATACATCTCCTTAAACAACTTCACAGTGGCATGTTCCCGTCTAAACTCATTCATGGATTATTTACAAGAATGGTTAACTAATCGTGGCCTCTCTTTATCTGTGGCCAAGAGTAGTGTGGTGATCTTTTCTCGCCAAAGGCGAGTTCCCGATATATCTGTTGTATATGATAAGCAACCTATTCCAGTTAGAGGCAATGTTAAATTTTTGAGAGTTATTCTTGATTCAAAACTGGCCTTCGGTCCATACATTGAATATATAACACAAAAATGCGAAAAAAACATAAATATTCTTCGGTCTTTGTCTGGTGTTTAGTGGGGGTCCCATCCTTTTCTCAGAAATTACTGTACAATGCTTTAATATGAAGCCACCTTGACTATGGATGTTTTCTGTTGGAGCCTTGCAATAAATCATCCCTGAAAGTAATGGACAAAATTCAATCGAAATGCCTTCACATTATTACAGGGGCAATGAAATCCTCACCATTAAATGTTTTTCAGGTTGAGTGCGTAGATCCTACTTTAAGATTAAGAAGGCAATACCTTTCAGACAGATTCTTATTTAAGATCTGCCAGCTTTCAGCTCATCCCCGAATTCCTAAATTGCATCTTCTTTCAGAGTATATCTCATCTGACCGATACTGGACCCATAAGGACTCTCCCTGCTTGTTTAAAAGTTTTGTAATTTTTCTTCAGCTTCCTTACCCAATCTTTCAATGTAAAATAAATCCACTCTTTGATGTTCCTTACGAGGCTCTTGTTTACCAACCCGACATTCATCTAGATCTAGGTATAGAAAAGGATTCTCCAATGGCAAATTTAAAATTAAAAGAAATAATAGAAAACACCTTTAAAGATTGGCTTGTCATGTACACAGACGCTTCAAAACAGTCTGATGAAGACTATACTGGAGCTAATGTTTGGATTCCTAAGTTCAAAATCATTCTTAACTTTAAATGCCCCTCACTATCCTCCACTTTTACCGGTGAAGCAACTGCAATCAGTGAAGCTTTGTTATATGTAGAGTCACATAATCTTAATAAAACAGTTATTTTCACAGATTCAAAAAGTTGTTTGGTAGCTATTTTGTCCAATCAATTCCAGAACAAACATAAATTTCCACTAATTCTTAAAATAAAAAATACCCTATTCAGATGCCATCTTAAAGGAATCCATGTTTCAGTAGCCTGGATTCCAGGCCACAGTGGTATCCATGGTAATGAAACAGCTGATGTACTCGCTAAAAATGCAACTGCTAATGGCATTCTACAAAATTTAATTTACTCACATGACCTAATTTTGCTAGCTAAAAGGAAACTGAATGAAAATTGGAATAAATTATGGGAAGTTTACAAAAATGTTAAAGGTAAGCACTATGCTACCATTCAAGAGGTTATTCCTCCCAAGCCTTGGTTCTTTAAATTTAACAAAGCAAATAAACATGCAACTTCAATCATTTGTAGATTAAGAATTGGACACGCTTGTACACATGCACACCTGGCAAAAATCAGAGTAAGGGATAGCTCATTGTGTGAATGTGGCTTAGATGAAGGTTCCACAAACCATATTTTTTTCAACTGTCCCAAATTATCCTCCTCCCTTTATGATTACCTTCCTCCTTATATTCTTAGACCTATAGATTTTAATTCTCTTTTAACATATACCAGTACTCCTTTTGTGTATATTTTATGTGATTTTATTAATACTAATAATATGAAACTTTAAATCCTTGTCACTTTTAACATACTGGTAAGAGTCTAACACCTGTGTTTGTCATATTTGTTCTAGGTAATTCAACAAATAGATTTGTCAAAATTCTCGGAGGAAAACTGAATCCTTGTATTATCACAGACTCTTATTTTAATTAAACTCATAAGCTTTCATTTTCCACTCAATACGTCATTGGCGAATTTTATCAAACCGACACAAAAGAAAGAAGAAGAAGAAGACATAAGTGGATGAAGGTGATAACTCGCATTCTACTAATTTTGAGTAAATCAAGATTGAAGTTTCACTTTTGTTTTTTAACATAAGTTGTTAGAAAATTGGTTTTTGATCTAAACTTTAATGCAAAGTTGGGTAAACAAACTTAAAAAATTAGTATACCTGAGCAATTAAACACTTTTAATACTTTATGGTATATAATTTCGAAAAAAACTGAACATAACTCTTTCTTTCACTAACATTTTTAAAACATTTTGGCATTTTAGCTATTTCAAATTAGGTGTTAAGTAACATTATGTACTTAAAGTATTACAAAAAGGTAGACATTACTTAAATATTCCTTAAAACATAAATAAAAACGTAAGCTAATAAAACAGCGATCAGTCTTGACAATAAAATAAAACAGATCAAAATAATACTATTTCTCAATTAAAATCGAGTCATGGAAGTACCGATATTCCAGCTTTACGTACTTAAGTTGGTCTCGGAGATTTTCTTTTTTTCCCACTGATACGGTACCATATTTTCCATTCGTACGCGAATCTCCACAGAATTGCGCAACGGAGAACTTTTTTTTAAAATATCCAACGTTTTGAAGGGTGTCATTTTATCATATGTTTCATTATATAGGTACGATCCATATTCATTTATGCGTATCTGTTTAATACCATCCCTAAAACTTACTTTGTCATTGTTTACATCTTTTTTCCTGTTAAACAAATTAAGTTTTTCCTGTAACCACCAAATAACACTGAAATGCGCGCTCATATCAATGACTGTATTATTTCGGAAAGCTTTACATGACATTCCTGTATTGTTTAAGAACGTATATTGTATTGTGGTTCCTAAGGACATTTTCTATCGTTTCTATCGGTTGATCGAGCTAGTAGATGAGTTTTTATATTTGGTATGCGTATTTAGCAGGGATGGGAGATATGATAAGGATATAGAATGACGAGTGAACACAGGAAATAGAGTAAATGGGGCCCTACACTCTATTGTGAAGAGTCTGAATATGTCAAAAAAAGCATTTACAGCAATTCACAATGCTGTGTTGGTCCCTACTTTAACGTATGGTAGTGAAAGTTGGGTGTAGCAGGAGAGTAGAATAAATGCAGTAGAAATGCGTTTGTTAAGGAGTATGTTAGGGCTAAATCTGAATGACAGGGTGATAAATTGTGTGATAAGAGAAAAGTGTGGTTTGCAAGATGATGCGATGACCAGGATTAAGAAAGGAATGCTTCGGTGGTTTGGTCATGTAGAAAGAATGAATGCAGAAAGACTGACAAAGCAAATACATGTTGCAGAAGTGAATGGAAGAGTCGGAAAGGGACGTTCTAGGCAGAAGTTTGTCGACCAAATTGGCAATATACTAAAAATGGGCCAAATTAAGAGTACCCATAACCGACGAGCATGTATGTGTAGGTATATGGATGTGGAGGAGGCGAGAAATGTGTGTCAGGATCGTGCCAAATCGTAGTCGGTAATCTCTGCCTACATCTATGTATGACAGGTGTGAGTGTTTATGTTTATGTTTTTTTCTATCCTACCGAAATCACAATCCGAGTCTTAATAAGAATGGCCAATCTCAGGGAACCTGTGGACTATTACTTTAAAATATCCTTTTAATATAAGGTATTGATACAGTGCAATCATGTTAAAGTTTTTGTTCTGTCCGGCACATGAATCCGACCAGATCAAAAAATGATCTTTGTTTTTGAGAACCTGCAAAAATCTTAGAAATGCGCTTCCAACCTCAATACTTCCGCGATCCGCTATTATAGGGTGACCGACAGCTGCTTCCAGTAATAATTTTGCCCTTGCTTTGCCTCCTGCCATGGCTTTTCCACTTTGCCAAAGTTAAATTCACTATTATAAATAATACTTTTGTACCCAACATACGCTACAATATGCACTCTGTTAGAAAGCCCAGGAGAATGTGATAATTTTAATGACAGAACGAAAATCAAAACAATTTACTGACGTGAACGAATGAAGGTGCTATGTATGTTACATAACACCTCCATTCATGGAGAAGTAACATCGTGTCATTTGACTATCATTCACTGAGTGGAAGAAAGTGTTATGTTCATACATATCACTTTCTTCTACAACAAAAAAACAAAACTTTTATTTTATTTATCAAGAAGGTAAGTGATATGGGCTCATATGTCTTTCATCCTGTACCATTTTCAAACTAAACTGAACATAACACCTTTATCAACTTTCTATTTTTAAAATATGTCTTAAATCAATCGTTTTAGTGTCTAAAATCATTTTATATCGACATATCACCTTCATCTATGCAAAAAAACACCAAAACCTGAAAATGCAACATATCACCTTCATCCATTTATGTCTTCAATAATGGATATGTTATGTCAAAGTTCTAAGTTTAAAAAAATCGTTAAATGCCTACTAAGGTTTTTGATAACTGTATTTGTAATGTAGAGGTATATTTTGTATTAGCTCTAACACTCCCCGTAAGAGCTAATACAAAATATACCTTCTAAGTGATTCCGATAAATTCGTTAAATCCAGGAATTCCTTCTATTGAGGCTCATTACATCAAGGTTACACTGTATATAGTGTGGGTATTATATATTTGAAATGTATTATATATGTGGCAGTAAACAAATGCTTACCTTGCAAAAAAGAGGTAGCATGTTGTACAATTTATCATCTTTTTCACTTTCAGTGAGCGACTGAGATGGGTGAGTGTATTCTGCGAACAACTTCTTTAAGTGCATAAGTCCAAGTTGTACGTGTGATGAAGAGTTGAAGCTCTCGGAAGTTTCCGAAGATGTAGAGCCAGAAGCTCCTCGTAATTTTCGCATTAAATTCATTTTGGTTGCTTAAAATATGATGGGTATTAAAAACATTGCCTTCTAATTGTAAAGATTTTTTGTGCAAGGTGCATAACTAATTTGACAAATTCTTTAAAAAATGCTATTCCACGTTGCTTTACATTATGTACTGTCTAAAAGATACTTTAACATTATGTATTGACATTTATAAATATTTTGTATTTTTATTATTTCCAGTTAGAGTTTTTTTTACTGCACGCCTACATTCACAATTTTGGTTCCATAGATTTAGTTGTATATCCCCTTGTCTGTGCGTCGACCAGCAGTCGGCACGTCAAATTATTTGCGCGTCTGTGAGCCGACCAGCAGTCGGCATCGTTTCCTGTTTATGTTTTCGCGCTCTTTACGACGGAACTACGATGCGTTTTTTAGGTGCGACACTTGAAATCATAGACTAATAATATATACTCAGTGTCAAACTGCTTTACTGTTACTCTTTGCTCCGTAAAAAAAAAATATCGGCACTTCAAATTGGACGCTGTCAAACCAACCGACTCCGGTTTTGTCACGCCTTTGATAAGTTTTCTTGAATCAAATTTGTTGTGATTTGAAGGAGAAACCATGGAAAGGTAAGTACTTTCACATTTTTATTACTGGGAAACATATAATTTTGCTAATTTAATTGTAAAAACCAGGCCAAACCAACGACATAGCCGTCTAACGAACTATGAACGTACTTTTATTTCTGAAATATTTGGTCTAAAAAGTGAATAAAACCGTAATGTTTTGGAGAATTTAAGCTACTAATGTAATTAATTTGCAATGGATGACAATGGTAAACGTGTATTTAGCTTTGAAAACTTTAATTTTGGGTCTAAATACGTGAAGGTTATTTCTTTACCGTCAGTCGGCAGGGGCACAGACAGGGTTTTGGCAGTTGATGACGTCATAACGGCGGCATGTCGGGCATGCTAGAAATTATAGATACGCTTTTGTATTTTCTGTTTGAAGTTATTTTTAAATATTTTGCATGTAATGTTACATCACTTTTAATTGCATAAACATTTAGTTACTGTGGAGATATAGTGGAAGTTGCATACTTTTTTTGTAGTATGTCATTTCTGTATGCTTTGTATGGTGTGCAATAAAGAATATTAAATAAATAAAATAAATAAATATAAAATATGGGAGCGAAAAAACTTAGCAGAATTTTTGTAATTTTTTATTTTTTATGTTTGCATCATGTAGAGGGCGCATATACTAACACTTTTTGTCGTAAAAAGTTTTGGGCTTGGATGAACCTGAGCAAAGATATTTAGGTATTTGAAGTACCAAGTAGGTACCAAGATAAAAATACAGCATTTTTGTTTCTTTTTTCTTTTTTCTTCGTTTGCGTCGTGTCGGGGGGGCACCCAAACAAACAATTTTTTCCTGAACAATTTTGGACTTAGACGAACCTGGGCCGAGATAAAGGCATTTGAAGAGCGTCCAAGCCCAAAATTGTTTGGGACAAAAAGTGTTTGTTGCACGATGATAAATTTAAAAATAAATAATTTTATTTTTAACTTTGACAACCAATTTTTTTTTTCAAAAAATTTCTCCAAAAATAATATTTACATATTTTCTAGACGTCTTATAGTAAGTTAAAAAAGTTACGCATGGACATTACTAAATTAGCTCTAAGGGCACCTTTTGCATTCATGTCTCGCGTATCTCTTGCATTTTTGTGTTTATTTTCTCTTTGGTTTGCATGCTTTTTGTTTTTGCTTTTTTCTTTAAAGAGGTGGACGTGGTCGTGCTCGTGGCCGTGGGCGTGGGCGTGGTGCGTACGCTGGTGGTGAAGGGGCGCATGCGCACACTGGTGGTGAAGGGGCGCATGCGCACACTGGTGGTGAAGGGGCGCATGCGCACACTGGTGGTGAAGGGGCGCATGCGCACACTGGTGGTGAAGGGGCGCATGCGCACACTGGTGGTGCGCGGACGCGTGGTGGGCCCACTAGCGGTGCTGGCCACACCGAAAGGCCTTCTGCTGTTGATCCGTAATAACAAATTTAACAACTAACAAGTTTCTTCGTTTTTTTTTTTAGCAACATTAATATTCTGCATTAATATTTTAGAGTTTACTGTGGCATGGTGGGGGGAGTTGCCGGTGGGGAGGCCTCTAGAGCGGCCGCTGACTCAGCGGCGACCTCGAGTACTGCCTGCCGCAAGGCGAGGGTAAGCACTTCGAAGTTGGTTTTGTTACTCGATTCACGTGCAGGGCATTGAATTTAACTTTCTTTTTAGTCCCGTGCCGGTGTCGTTGTGGTCGTCCATGGACCTCCTCACCGGCAACCACCCGACCCAGCCGCTGAGCCCTCAGGAGGAACGAGCTGCAGCGGCCCAACCAGCAGTAGTTGATATGGAGCTTTGCTCAGTTCCTTCACCTGCTTTGTAAGTTTTTACTTATATTCATATTTTGAAGCTAAACTTTTCGTAACTGGTCATAAAATAACGTATTTTTAACACTATTTATGTTTTACAGACACGTTGAAGTTGGAGGGAGTGGAACCTCCACACCTAATCGGACTCCAACGTCCCGAAAGCGAAATGCGTAAGTTTTTCCTTTATTGCTTTATTAAATATTGATAGTATTTGACTTTGAACTGTTAACTGTTCGAATATAACTATTACGATAGAAATCAAAAAACAACATTATTTTTTCAGATCGGACCACAATGACATGGGGGCTAAACGGCGTCTGTGAGTGCCTATTAATAAATATATATTCTATGTGCAGAAGTGTCTACTTAATATTTTGATTCTTAATAATTTATTTTCTTCTTTTAGAATTACTTCCTCGTCATCTTCGTCGCGTCCTCTAAGGGATATTGAAATATCCAACACCCTTAATTATGGTAAGGGAAAATAGTTTTGCTTTAGCTGCTAATAAAAATACAAATAAAACCCGTACTGTGTTCTATAAACATCAGCTCTCATGTTACTGATTCTGTTACATAAGTAGTAACTTAATACAGTCAATTATTTTTAGAATAATTGACTGTATTAAGTTACTACTTATGTAACAGATTATTTTAAAAAAAACGTAAATTATTACAGTCGGCCAATGTGGTTATTTTATCTTATATTTTACAGGCAGCGACGAGGACTCCGAAGAAGATGGCGAAGAAGAAATTGGACTCCAATCCACCATAGTCCCCAGGGTGGTACAAATGTTCGCGGCATCGGAGGATGAGGGTGAAGGTGGGGAAGTAGACGCATTTATTTCTTTTTCCTGGCCTCCGACATCCAATGATCACCCACCTGTCCCTAACTCTTCCGGTCCCATTCCTTCCACATCCCATGTTCCTGATTATTCTGTTCCGCCTTCCTTACCTACCCATACTCCCTCGTCCCCATCCTGTCCCATGTCGGAGCCAGGAAATAAATTTGATTTTAAATGGAGGGGGTTCCCGCAACCTCAAACTCCTCCTGAGCTGAGGAGGGAACCGTTCTCCCAGATAAACTGTGGGCCCACGGTTCCATATGCGAGCCCATATGACGCATTTACTGCCATATGGGATCGCGATATAATGGAACACATTGCCATGGAGACGAATCGATATGCACAACAGCTTGCAACGGTCATGCTGGTGGACGGTTCGCTCTGTCCGAGCAGCCGCATCACCAAATGGAAAGACACCGACGTAAGTGAATTGCACGTGTATTTCGCTATAATCCTCGCTACCGGGATTGTGGTGAAATCACGTCTCGAGGAGTACTGGAACAGCACGCTGGACATTTTCAGTACCCCCGGGTTCACTGCGGCGATGACGTATGACCGCTTCATGCTGTTGAGCAAATGTCTCCACTTTCAGGATAATGACGGTTGCGATCCTGAACTGATGACACGGGCTCAGGCCAATTTTGGATCACCTTAACAACAAATTCCAACAATTATATGTTTTGGGTCAAAACGTGTCTGTGGATGAAAGTCTGACCATGTGGAAGGGTTGGTTAGATATTAACCAATTCATCCGCAACAAAGCAGCTACAGTAGGAATTAAAACATACGAGGTGTGCGAGTCCCAGACTGGTTACTTGTGACGCTTTGAAGTCCACGCAGGCCATGATACCTCCTCAGACCCACAAGAGGACAGTCCAGTTTCTGGGAAAGTGCCAGCTCTTGTGCTCAGACTTTTAAATGGTCTTGAGCATAAGGGCCACACGATTTGGATGGATAATTTCTACAATTCTCCCGCGCTTGCGCGAGAATTGAAAGTTCGGGGGGTTTGACTGCGTGGGGACCTTACGAACGAATCGTCAGTTTGTTCCCATTGAGCTGACGAATCTTACGAAAAAAGACATGGCGATAGGTCAGGTGAACGGTTGCACTTCGGGGGATGTGGACCTCATCGTATACCGGGACAAAAACCGTGTGGCATTTGTCTCGACATACCATGGGCTAGCAACCGCGATGTGCGGCGATACACACAAGCCCACCGTCATACCAGACTATAATGTCTGTATGGGGGGGGGGGGGGGTTGATCGCAAAGACCAGATGCTCGCCATGTACCCCATTGAAAGAAGGCGGAACAAAATCTGGTACAAAAAGTTTTTCAGGAAGCTCTTGAATGCTAGTGTTCTAAATGCCTACATACTCCACAAGGCACACCGCTCAATTTCTCACCGAAATTTTCGCCGAACTTTGGTGAGGGAATTGTTGGCAGCACACACACCACCAGCACCTACCCGTGCACTACCGAACACCTGGCATTTTCCGGGGCAATACGATCTGCTCCCGGGAACAACACGGAACGAGCACCAGAGGCGTAGTTGTTCAGTTTGCAAAAAGCGAACATCAAGCTTTTGCAAAGCCTGCAACGTGCCCCTGTGTGTGTTTGGTTGCTTTGAGTCATATCACACTTCACAGTAAACTACACAAAAACACTGTCTTACACACAAGGTATTTAGGCACTAGTATTGAAGGTCTATCTGAAAAACACTTGTACTTGAGCACACAGTCCACCTGATGGTAAGTGGATACATCGTCACCCCT